TTGTTGAAATCTGATGACTCCACGTGTTCTGCCGATTTTGTCAAGTAAAAAAATCCATTATTGTCCATCAATTTCCACTTTTCATAAACAAGGCCAATTTTGGCTTTACTACAGGCTACATCGCCTCGAAAATACAGATATTTATCATTAAAAGCGAAGAATTGATTAAATCTAGTGTCTGGTCAGTGTTCAACCAATTTTACCAGTTGAAAACCAATATTGTCCACAAATGTCCACTTTTATGACAGAATCCATAGATTTACAGCTGATTGGTGCTATAATCCACCTTCCGATTCCGTGTAAATTGCGAGATTTTCTTTTTAAAAGCGAAGAATTGATGAAATCTAGTGTCTGGTCAGTGTTCAGCCAATTTTGTCGGTGGAAAACCAATATTGTCCACAAATGTCCACTTTTATGACAGAATCCATAGATTTCCAGCTGACTGGTGCGATAATCCACCCTCCTATTCCATGTAAATTGCGAGATTTTCTTTTTAAAAGCGAAGAATTGATGAAATCTAGTGTCTGGTCAATGTTCAGCCAATTTTGTCGGTTGAAAACCAATATTGTCCACAAATGTCCACTTTTATGACAGAATCCATAGATTTCCAGCTGATTGGTGCTATCATCCACCCTCCGATTCCGTGTAAATTGCGACATTTTTTTTTTAAAAGCGAAACTTTGATGAAATCCGGTGGCATCGTATTTTTTTCAGGAAATTTTATCTGCAAAAAAATATTGACCACAAATATTCACTATGAATATGGAATGGATGGATTCCCAAATAATTTTGTCCTTTAGATCCGACTGAAAGACCTTTTAAACCGAATGATTTCTCATTAAAAACAAGGAATTGATGAAATCACGTTGCTTCTTTGCTTTCTGACAGTTTTATCTGCGATTTAACAATATTGCCCACAAATGTCCACTATTAATAAAGAACTAGTTCATCTCCACCCCATTGGGGCTTTACTCCAGGCACAAACTTTTCTAAAATTGACAGATTTGTCGTTAAAAGCGAAAAGTTCGTGAAATCTCATGGCTGCTCTGTTCTCTACCATATTTATCCAGAACAAACCATTATCGTCCACAAATGTCTACTATTAATAAACAATTAATGATTTTCCAGCTAATTGGACCTTCAATCCTGGCAGAAAACTCTTTAAGATCGAGATATTTCTTATTAAATGCGAGCAGTACATGAAATGAGGCTGCTCTCAACTCAGCCAATTTTGTCACCGAAAAAAACATGTCCGTCCATAAATGTGCTCTTTTATGATAGAATTAGCAGATCTTCAGCCTATAGGAGCTTTAATCCAGGCAGAACCACCTCTAAAATCGGAAATTTCTCATTAAAATCGAGTAACTGATAAAATCTCAGTGATGCTTTGTTTTTGCCAATTTTATCTGAGAACCATTATTGCCCACAAATGTCCACTTTTATAATAGAATCAATAGATTTCCTGCGGAATGGGGCTTTAGTCTAGGCAGAAACACCTTTACAATTGATAGATATGTCGGTAAAACTGAGGAGTTCATGAAATATCATTGCTTGTTTTCTGTCAAGTTTATCTACTAATAAACAATTATCGTCAACAAATTTCAAAAAGTATCATAAATTCGATAGGTTTCAAGATAATTTGGACTTTAATCCTGGCAGAAACACCTCTAAGGATCGAAAGATTTCGCGTTAAAAGAGAAAAATTCATGCAATATAGTGGCATCTTTTTTTTCTGGCAGTTTTATCTCGGAATAAACCACAATTGTCCACAAATGTTAATAAAAATGGATTTCCAGCTAATTGAAGCTTTAATCCAACCTGAAACACCTTTAAGAATCGAGAGATTTATCATTAAAAGCGAGGAATTGATGAAATCTCGTTGCTGCTTTTTTGCCACTATCTGAAAATTCTCCATTATTGATGTCTGGGGAAAAAAACATTTCCGTCCACAAATGTGCCCTTTTATAATAGAATTCGCAGTTCTTCGGCCGATTGGAGCTTTAATCCAGGCAGAAACACTTCTAAGATTGAGATATTTCTCATTAAATGCGAGTAGCACATGAAATCTAGTAGTTGACTCGTTTCAGCTTATTTTTTTCAGGGAAAAAACACCAATTTCATCTTTTAGTTTAGAACCAATAGAATTTCAGCCAATTGGAGCTTCAATCCAACCAGAAATACCTATAAAATCGAGGAATTTGGCACTAAAATGGAAGATTTGATGAAATCTCGTTGCTGCTTTTTTTCGCCTGTTTTATCTGACAATAATCCGTTACTGTCCATAAATTTCCACTTTTATAATAGATTCAATAGATTTCCGGCTAATTGGAGCTTTAATCCAGGCAGATACCCCCACTAAGATCGAGATATTTCTCATTAAATGCGAGTAGATGAAATCTTGTGGCAGCGTCCTTTTATGCCAATTTTTATCGACAAATTTTCACTTTTATAAATGCATGGAATAAGTACTACAATCTACCAGATTATCCATATTACTTTAGGAGAATCTTGGCTTAGAAGGTTGATTTGACCTGGTGGTCAGTGGTCATTACATTGTGGGATTATGTGACAAGAATAACATGTAACTTTCATTTTCGGATCGATGGCCATGTATCATCGAGCTTTTCTGATATAAAAATGGTAAAAGAAATCGGGGGTAGCGGTACATTTTGATAATTACTGCCACTGGGTGGGGGGTGGAAAGTTGGAAACGCTTCCGAGTTTATATCCGACGCCCCCGGCGCGGGACTTAATAGCGAAGCCCTCGCGGTGGGGGGGGGTCCGGGGACTTATTTACACAAACGCCCTTTTAAGAGGGTTTAGCGTTTTGTTTACACTTTCAACCTTTCGTCCTTCCGCGTAGGTCCAATTAATCCAACAGGATCGCGGGTTTTTTCCTCCCCCCGCCTGGGCTTCGAAGATGTCCACCCCCAGTGAAAACCACCCCCGCCCCCGTAGAAAGAGAGAGAGAACGAGGCCCCCGGTCAGCCCACCCACAACCACCCCCACACTCACCTTGCATACTGAGCAGGAGTTGGTGGGAGAGAGACTGACCAGTGCATAAGAAGGAAAGCGATCAATACAGCCTATCCCAGCATCACCCTCTCCTCATCTAACTACCGTCTTACACTTCTACCGATCCTACAACTATGGACTTGCAAAATCCGACGTCGAGGGTGGCACAGCGCTCGGACGCCCTACCGCCCCCAACGTCCTCAACATCCCCATAAAATATAAACCCAATCTTTAACAGGCAGAAAACACCCAAACCCCTTTAAATTTTCAAAAAAATAAACATTCCGATCAACCCTTTAAGCGTATTTGCCTTATAAACAAACAGCATAACGTGCCCGACCACGAAGGAATGACTTCAGGCAGATAACAACTTTAAAACTACAAACAAAAATATTACGCAATAAAGAACAATATTAAATTTTTCCTCTACTCTTTTAAATAAAAAGAGCACGGTGAGGCAAACATCAGAAATCAACATCGGTCACCCTTGCCCGGGGTTTCGAGAAAAATAAGCTCTTTATTACCTTCAAGATAAAAATAAAGAATCAAATAAGTAGACAAGCAATAAAATAAATGAAAAACGTTATCGCTACGTCGTGATCGCATGAGCCGATAGGTCCCAACACCCAAAACCGTAAAGAAAAATCAAAAGCACTAGGTGAAAAATGAAAGAAACAATAAACAACAACAAAGAAGAAGAAGATAAGGTACACAGGCAAGGTTAAAAATGTTAAATGATATAGAGAAGAAAGAGCTGTGTGAAGCTTACAAACAAACAGGAGAAATAAGAGGCTGAATTCTGATCTAAAAGGGTAAAAATTGAGAAGAAAATGAAGCAGAAAATATTTTGGTATTTTTCTACACATTTCAGTTACTTATCTTCTGCACCTGCTCTATTTGGTTTCCTTATGTCATTTCTAGTTCTCAGTCAACGCTTGCCTTTCATCTATCTACCTTACTTGCAAACATTATGATGGTCTTAGTTTTAATATAGATGGTATATACCAAAAGAGAAGCGCACAAAAAGCAAGTCTTTTATCCAGATATAACAAGAGCCAAAGGCAAAAGAAATTATATGGAAAATGTCATCTATAGGTTTTATTGTTATTTTGTTAATTTTGTGTTGATACTTTATTTTGAAACTTAAAAAAGCGAAATATTTTCAAAAATACATGTAACATTACACCTGTCCACTGATTATACCGTTAATACGAAAAGTACGGCAGTCTACAGCGGTTTTAATGATCGTGATGACGATTTAAACATACGGCTCTTTCAGGTGGCATAAACAAAAAGGGAATATTATAAAACATAATCATATATATTACATAACATATAATATTACCGAAAGAAAACAGCAGCAAAAGATTGTATATTGGTCCTATAGTGTAGGTCATCTATAGTTTTTATTGATATTTTATGCTGATCCTATATTTTGAAACTTGAAAACTGATATATATATATTCTTGGGGATTTGTAAAAATACTTTTCACATTACACCTGTCCACGGATTATACCGTATATACGAACAGTATGGCAGTTTAAAGCAGTTGTGATGATCATGATGACGATTTAAACCTAGGGCTGTTTCAGGTGGTAGAATCAAAAAGGGAATCATATAAAAAATCAAGTCTGTTAGTGAGGGAACACAAGAGCCAAAGCTTAGTAGTCGTTCGATGGCATGTATCACCTAGGATTTACTATATTTCATTAATTTTGTGTTGATCCTTTGTTTCGAAACTTTTAAATATAGAAGTGGGGCTTTTTGGTAGGAATTTATCGCCGGGGGCGGGAAAAATAAAAAAGCGGCCGCACCCTGTCACCTGGAATAAAAGAGGGGATATACCGGTATGATATAATTCCACGGGGTAAGACGGATGGTCCGGCCAGTTAATCCCGGACCGGGTGGCTGCGGAGGCGGAGATGGTGAAAACGACACCCCCTCAAAAAAGGGATGAAATTTGTTCAGAAGATAAACTGCTTACCGTTTTCGCTGCGAGGCCGTGTTTGGCGTGCATGGAATAACGGACGGAGTTGACGCACTGGGCGCAGGCGCGTATCTGAAAAGCGCAAGATTGAGAACAAAGTCCGAAAGGGATAAAGTTAAAATTAAGCACCTGGGGGCATCTCAAGCACTTGTAAAGAGAGCCGAACACCTGGTTTTCGCAGTAGGTGCAGTAGGTCTCGTGCTTCGGAAGCGCTGCGAGCTTGGGTGGTCTCGTCCTCCTCATAGATAGTCGCAGCTCGGGCAGGCTGGAAAAATGACCCCTGCACATCGGGCACGTCAGGTTCCTCGGGTCGTCCTGATGCCTCGCCACCACCTCCATGCAGTGGCCGTGCATCCCCTGGCCGCAGCCGTACGTGCAGTAGACAACTGAAAAAACCAATAAAACCATAAAATCAATCCTTTATTTACCACCCCTTCGGAAATTTACTCGGTGATCTTTTAGCGACAAAAGGCTCCAAGCAGATCGGGCAAGGGTCGTCCTTGTCCACTATCCTCTTCCTGACCGGCTTGTTGGACGGGTTCCTCACTGGCATCCTTTTCGGATTGGTCAGTTTCTTGGGGTAGAGGCATTCTTCCAGTTCCCTTTCCGTCATCCCCAGCTGGACAAAAAATACTGAAACTGCTGTTTCTCAGTAAAATAGTCTTACATCACAATAATCTCTCACTACACATTCATCCATTGCTGTTTCCCTCCAGAGCTGTTCTATCATCCCCAAGCAAGCCTCTAAGGAAAATATAACACACTTTATTCTCTATAACCTTTCTAAATTATAACCTTATTCACTTGTAACCGATAGCAGTTCAATCGCCCAACGCAAGACAATAAGCGTTTTGTAAATGGTCCTCCTTTTCTTTACATAACCTTTCTAAAATATAACCGTATTTTATTTGTAACCTCATATATTTCTCAGGGATCATGCTATCATTCATTTTTTTCTATAACTCTCCATAGCTGTTCTATCAACCCCAAGCAAGCCACTAACGACAATATAACCTACTTCTCGCTCTACGACCTTTCTACAATATTACCTTATACTTGTCTTACTTATTTTTGGCCTCATTTATATCAAAAGTACCAGTTATTCTATTACCCTCAAGCAAGCCACTAACGACAATATAACCTCCTTCACCCTTTATAACCTTTTCTCATTATATCCGTATAGTTGACACAATATTACAAATATTGCACTTTCGACATACCATTTTTAATCTAATTATGCGCATACCTACTTAAGTTAACCAATATATTTATGTATATATCTAAACATACAGCAGTCTGTTCTAACATAAATGGCTATATAAATCTGGGCTAACTTGTAACATAAATTTACACTTAGTCTCACTCAACCTGTTTACCTGGTAGCAAATTGGGTTCGATGGCCTTATGGCCAGCTTCTTCGTGAGTACCCAGACAATGTGGACGCAGAGGTCCTTGGTCATCCTGAAACAAGGGCAGGTGCAGGAATGGCTCTGGCCCAGGCAGACCCGGAAGGGGGTTCCTCCTCGTTCGGCGATCGTCCAAGCGGCCGGTCCTGCCTCGCGGACCAGGTACAGGTCGGCTTTTTCCGCCCTCTCCAGCGAATCCTGAGCCACCCTGGAGCACGCCCGGTGCATCCTTGTTCAGACCATCACGAGTAGTCCTTCATCTGAAATTTTTAAAACGGGATATAATTGCGTGAACCGAGTGTCGTAACCTGAAGGATTATTCATGGATAACGGGATCAATAGGGTCGACAGGTCGACATATCCGTAGTTGATTTATTGTCTAATCCGGACACAGCGTTTCAAAGAGGTCGCAATGGGGCGGATCAAGGACTCGCGCGGGACTTCGCCATCCTTGAAACTTCGTTAAGGTCATACAGGCATTCCTGACCACTTTCACCGAGACGGAGGTCGCGAACTGTACCCGGCAATTTGGATTTTGCCCAACCGCATTTATCCGTCCAGTCGTTTGTCATCTCGGTTTCGAAGATCCGGATGTTATTACGAGGATCCTGGTCAGAGATAAAGATAATCGCCGGATCTTATTCGAGGAGCCTGGATTTTCATAAGCTTTGAAGCGGCCGAAGTTAAACACGGTTGTTTTAAGAAAAGGAGACAGAAAAACGTTTTCAAAATTAACCAATATGTCAGGGTTAACACGAAGAAAGCTTACAGAAAAGTCAATTCAAATGTCATCTCACGACATCGAAGAGTACGAAGACTCTTTGGACACGTTTCCTTTTCTGTTCAATTTCGATCAAGTCGGGTTCAGGGCAACGCGATTTTATTGTCTCCGTAGCCCTTTACGATGAGCGCGTAACAGGTGTCGCGGGATGACTCGAGCTACACAAAATATATTAAAAGAAAAGAAGGGAAAAAAACAGAGACATACCGGATATATTGCACTCGGCCGAGCAGCGAGACGACGAGTGAGCCGAAGACCCGGAACCGACGCCCTGGCAACGTTTACGATGAGTCAGGGATCGGTCGATTTTTTTTTCACGGATGGACTACCCCCGGGCTTCCAGGTGGGCGTGATGAACAATCAAAACGGCATAACTTGTAAAGATAATAAAGAAAGCACATGCTTAGGAAGGAGGCCACTCATATCTAAGACCACCTGACACGAATAAAAATTTTAGTAGATCTAAAAGAGGGTCGAAAAGATAAAAAAAAAGCCATTCGAGGAGGTTCCTTTGTCCAAAATACCCTTATTTCATAACCTTTTGTCTTTATAACCTCTACACATTACCTACTCCACAACCTTATATAACCTCCTGCCTAGAACACACATACCATCTCGTCCTAGTTTTCAAAGGGAAACCACTGTCCTTAAAAGTGCGCAGGATGACATGGTGTTCGAGTCAGGAGGTTATACTTAGGTAATATGTAAAGGTTATAAAGACGTAAGGGTACGAAATGATGAAGAACGTTTCTAAATGTTTACCGATTGAATTAAAGGCACTTTTAAGGACATAAGTTTTGCTGATGTACTAGGACGGGATGGCATGTCTGTACGAGACAGGAGGTTATACTGTCGTAATATATAGAGGTTATGAAGACATAATGTTATGAAATGACGCAGAATGTTTATTAATGTTTAAATAAATAATCTTATCTCATTATAACCTCCTGCTAAGAACACATATGCCATCTCGGCCTGGTACATCAGCAAAACCTCTGTCCTTACAAGTGACTTTATTTCAATCTGTACGTACCTTACGTATTACCTCAGTATAAACTCCTGACAACGGGCAACTTTTGAAGATAAGTCCTTTTTACTTAGGGTTTGCTGAAAGGCAGTACAATCAGACACAATTTTGAATGGAGTACCAACTAAATATACTCGGAACTTCTTAACAGCTTCGATCACTGCTAAAGCCTCAGGTTCATAACTCGAATATTTCTTGAGCGTTTCATCTTTCTTTTTACGCATGAAGTACAGGATGAAAACTTCCTCTCTTCTCGGCCTTTTGTAAAAGAATCGGTCCATAACCATCCTTAATTGCGTCCGTATGAAGTTCGGTTTCAGCCATTGAGTCATAAAGAACCAAAACAGGTGCTTCGCACAGTTTCTGTCTTAAGAGGTTGAAAGTTACTAGTTGATCCGAAGTCAACATCACTGGTCCTTTAGGGTTGCCCTTTAAAAGTTCCATCAAGAGTAAAGCCAGAAACACACTTACCCGATTGCTACGCCATGCGACGCTACCCGACGCAAATCAAAACTCCGATTTTTCCATATTGTTGCATTACCCCCGTGCACATCTACCCGATGCTATGCCACGCTAACCTACCGATCCCCACTGTCCAGATTTTCGTCGGGTCGCATCGAGTACAGTCGAAGACAAAAGAACCGGACGCTCATATTTTTATTCAAACTACATTATTATTGTCGTTATATTAATTACAACATACTTATTTTAATATAAACCAAATTAACTGTGATTAAAAATTAATTAGTTTTTATTTAAAAAATTAATTTTAATGGTTTGGTAGAAAATTAATCAAAACACTGGAATACGATTTTTTGATATAATGAATTTAACTGACAATTTATTGTACTCGCTTCGGCGGTACATAAACTAAAATTGGAACAATTTATTACACGGTTTTGCTCATAAAATTTAATTAACAATCTATTTCATAGTTTTGCTCGTAAAATCACACCATTTTGTAATGTCGGGTAGCATCAGAACAGGACACTCATATTTTTTGTAGTTTATTTCAAACTAAGTACATGTAATTTTGTCGTTATATTAATTACAACGTGTTATTTTAATGTAAACCAAATTAATCGAGATAAAAAATGCATAAGTTTTTATAAACATTGTTTAATTATGATGGTTAGGGTAACTTTATTTAAAACAATTAAGTTTAACAAACAATTTATTAAATGGTTGTGCTCATAAAATTTAACTAACAGTTTATTACAAGGTTTTGCTCAAAATAGTGCATTAAGAACAAAAGATGCGTTGCGATTGTAATAGTGATTTTGTGATAAACGCTGTGGACTGTACGCGACGGATAGATGTGCACACCCCACCAAAACGTGGCAAGGCGTCGGGTAGCATCGGGTAGCGTCGCATGGCGTAGCATCGGGTAAGCGTGTTCCTGGCTTAAAGCAATTTTTGCATAATCCTGGATAAATTTTCTAAAATGGCCAGTAAGGCCCAAAAAATGATTTCAAAGTTCGGTAAGTTTTCGGTTTGGGGAAATTTTCTATGGCTTTAGTTTTATATTCAGACGGTCGAACAGTGTTTTTTTTACTAAATGTCCTAAATATTCAATAGTTGTTTTAAATAATTAGCAGTTCTTCTAATTAACGTCTGAACCGTATTCAGAACCACGACGAATTACAATTTCTAAATTTTTCGCCGCTTCAGTTTCATCTTTTCAAGGAAAGATAATATCATCAAAACACAAAATCATAACTTTTTTGTAAATCAAGTCAAGAAAAATACACACCTTACAACCTCACATACCTTACAAGAACAGCAGGGGAATTACCCAATCCAAACTGGGCTCGTAAAAATTTGTTATGTCCAGCTGGGAAACGCATGTATTTGCGGCTTTTTTCGCCTACAGGTACATGAAAAAAAATCCGTTTTTCAGATCAATCGAGCTAAAAATGGTGGCACCTTGTGACTGGTCATAGGGTGTCGGTCTTTAATTATCTCTTTGTTGAGATGGAAATCGACGCATTTTTTTTTTTTTTGTCAATCCCATCCCAAATTCTTCTTGATCCGTCCTTTTGCGGAACCAGCACGAGTGGGCTTGCAACTTCCGTATCACTAGGTTCTATAATATTGTTCTCTAACCATTCACCGACTTGAGCATTAACATCTACCATTTATGCTCTTGAAAGTCATCGAGGATGTGAAAAAACAGGATCCGTATCGGATAAAATTATTCTCATTTTAACGACACAACTTTGATTTTATCTGGCTTGTAACTATCCTTTAGTTCTTGGACGAATGATTTACATTTGGGTATACCAACGTCTAGTTCTTGAATTTTCATATTAATTAAAAATTCTTGGGTAATTTTTTTTCTGACACAAAAATACTCTTATTTTAACAATCCATTATATTTCGTGGTCTGATTTACCAAATAACTTCTTTCAATTAATTAATCTTTATGTAAGGTATTGGTTGAAATGAAATAGTGTCACGAGGGGGATTCGAACCCACGACCTTCCGCTAAATACTCCGCAGCTCTATCACTTGAGCTATCGTTACTTCGATCCATTCGGGCATTTGAAAAATGGCAAAAAGGAGGAAAAATTCGAAAGGTAGGTTTAAGATGGGAAGTTGGTGTCTGACTGGATCGAAGTCACAATAGACCAAGTGGTAGAGCAACGGCGTATTTAGCCGAAGATCGTGGGTTCGAATCCTTCCACTACAACTTATGATTTTTCCTTCTTGAAGGTGAGATAATAGGTCATCTTTTTGTTTTTCTTTTTTTTGCCTATGAGAACCATCTTGTTTCCTTTGTCCGATCTAGTGTTTAACAATCTTCATTATTTTTTCAAAACTCATTCAACATTTTTACATTTTTCTTAATCCTAAATTCGTATCTGTCTAATGAGGTGTTGTTTTTATTTTTATTATGAAAGTTTGTCATTATATTGGTTACTACCGCCCTAACTTCCCCTTTCTGGTTTTCATCCTGTTCTTTACTTAGAAAAACCAGTTCGCTGATTGTATCCATGACTGTCTTGCTTGTTAATTTACTTTTCACATTAAATTTTGGTCCAACTGACAATATTTCAACTACTTCGTCCGATATAGTCTTATCTGTCAGGTTTACGACCCAGTCCAGTTGGACTTCATTGGGCTCCCTAGAAATTCTTCTGTTTCTTTCATTTAATAGGTTATCTAGTATTTTATTTACTTTTAATTTTCGTTTGTTCTTTTCCCTGTCAATGAATTCTCTCTGTTTTCTTCTAAATTCAGTAATGATATGGGGGGGGGGGAATCTTTCCATTTAGTTCGTTTTGTTTGGTAGCTGTCTCTTTCAAATCCTTTAATCTGGGAATAAGCAATGCTTATATCCAGGTTCAAGATTTTCTTTTTAGAGTTATAAAATATGGAATCTAGTTTTATGATGTGTTACTGTGCTCACCGGTACAATACGTTTGTCCACTTTTAACACGTTATTAAGATAATTAAAAAACATTGTTTCTTCTACATTTTACCAAGAATTTTTTCTTGAGTTGGGCGTTTAATAACTTATTATTTAGTGAAAACCATTTCTTAAAACTTCACATTATTTGTGTTCCGTGTTCCTCAGCGATCTGTCTATAGAACATACCTTCTCCCCGATGTACTGGCATGTCCGTTGATATCTCCCATGATTCGAGTAACAATGTTTTCTTATATTTCGACCTCAACAGTTTAACTTATGATTTTTCTTTCTTGAAGGTGGGATAATAGATCATCTACACATAAACACCCTTCACTACATTAACTTTTTCATTCTTATATAAAGACACTCTCGACACGGCACGCAAGGATGGCACAATTACACAGAAGACAAAGACTTTGAGCCCTGAAGATGATCTCAATTAAGATCGAAACGTTGGCACGATAAAGAAAATGTTTTTCTGAAACCTACATCACACCAGACCGCATCTCACGATTTCTAAATAAACTTATATAAAGATTTTTAACAATAATTTCCGCGTTTTTCAAAAATTCTCGCCCAAGTAAAATCGAGACATTCAGTATAGTATCATCGGCTAAGGAAAATCTGTCGTCGGAAAAGTTACGAACTATTTCGTCCTATAACGCAATATCACATGAAAAGGAACCGCGGGTTTCAACTGAAAATCCGCCAAGTCCCTGGATATCATTAGAAGGTTTTAATAATGGCTTCCCGAAAGCAGCATATGCGGATGGTCTCATAATATTTACTTCGAACCAGTGTCAATAAATGAAATGAAAAATACTCACCAGCAATGTTGAGAGCGAGGCGGCAGCATTCGTCATCCTTTGATGTTATGATTTTGGAGGGAAAAATACTCCCGGCAGCAGGCGAGGTGTGCAAGCACGATGCGCAGAATCGTCCGGAATGGCGCGAACCTTTTTTTTAGGTTTTTCAATCCTCTTTGATTTATCGCCGAAAGTCGTAAACAAACACTTTTTCTGCGATGTTGGATGTTCTGCCGACTTACAGCTAGGTGTCCAAAATTTCCGCACTTGGGTTTCGAGGAATGTGCATGTATGATCTTTTCCACAATTTTAGCCTCGGAACGTTTTTCGGTAGCCGATTTACCGGGTGTCTTATTAAATTCGGCTGAAATATTTTCTCCCGCTCCCAATTAGCCTTCCGATTATCCAAATTCTGCTTCAACTTTTCGTACATGCCCAGTCTCTTCTTAAAGTCCGCTAAATCTGAAGCTCTGATAATAATCATGGATGTTTCGTCGACATCTCCTTCTCAGAAATTAATTTTAGTCGACAATAAAAAGCTTTAACCTTCTCGTTCGGCTTTTCCTTCGTATTCGAAAGAATTCGGTGGATCTCCGCAGTTGAAATTTTAGGCTCAACCTCGTCTAACAGACTTATTCTGGGCGTTTTCCAACTATTAAAACCTGCCTCACTTATGATAAACAATTAAACTGCCCCTTTTATTGATTTTTTGGCGAATACGAGCTTCTCCAGGTCCGTCTACTTCATAAGCATCACACTCAATTCAATTTGTTTGATCCATTTTACAACAGTAAACGCATCATCGCCGGAAAATCAAACTGTCAAATCCTGTAAATCTCTCATCGAAAAGCATAGGGATTTCTTACCCACATTGTCTTGATTTTTTTCGGCATATTTACTTCTCGTCGTCTTGTTTGTATTATTATTCTTTCTTCTTTTCTTTATACGCGTCACTTTCTTTACTCGAAACGAAAGTACAAATGTTTCAAATCCGAGAACCGACACAAATCGAGAACAAAAACAAGTAACCTCCTCTTAGCAAGCCAGCGACCCCCAACTTTGCAGTTAAATTGGATAAGTCAATGGCTAATGAAATTGTACTTGCAACGACTTATGAATTTTATTGATTACAAGCAACAAAAATAAAACTTAATTACACAATTTGAATAAAATAATCGACACAGCGCACACGATAAACATCTATCCTTTTTTAACAACCAAATCTAATTTCCTTCTACCCTGCCGCTTGGCGCACCTCAGGTCACTTCCGACATATATGTATAAAACTTTTGCATCATTTCATAACCTTACGTCTTTATAACCTGTACATATTACCTCAGTAAAACTCCTAACACGAACACAAAATGATTAAATATTAAATCCATTTGGCTCTTGAAGACCATAATTGACTTATCATGCCCATGCCAGCCATTTATCGTTTGTAACTTCTTCCAACCTTTATAAACTTTGTGAATTATAACAGCATACTAACCTTATTTTTTAACCTCATATAAACATATACAGAGAAAAGCAAAAAAAAACCTCATATACGTCGCAGGTACCATATATTCTTCCATTTTCCTACAACTGTGCAAAACGTCAAGAAAGCCATTAACCACATTATAACCTTCTTCACCAGTCACACCTTGTCTTCATTATAACCTTATTTATTTGTAACTTTATACAAGCCACTACAGTGTATGCAAGCAGCATATATTAATCCATTTTGTCTGTCTTATTATCTTAAACAAGCCAGTAACCATTTTGTAACGTCTATCACTACGCATAATTTTTCTTAATTAAAACCTCAAACATGGTACATTCTTGTAATAACATAACCTTACATAACATCGTACATTTTCAGGCACTATACATTCATTCATTTTCTTATGACTATCCATAGCCGTTGTCATCCCCAAGCTTCTCACGAACCATTTTATAACCTCGTTCACCTTAACTATAGCCTATCTATATTACTACCTCATACAACCTTACTTATTTTTAACCTTATTATTTCCCCTTGACCAGTATGGCGATATCGTCTGTGTAGTCTTTGTTTGACGTTCTGTTTGGGTGTAAGGTTTTCTGTGTATTGTACATTATTCCTTCCTTCTGTGCTCTACATATCTCCGCTGACCGAAAACGAAACGACCATTAGGTTTATTCACCCCAGAATCCGGTATAACCGATTCCCTCTTACGTCCGCGTTTAAAATTCGGTCGATCGGAATCGGTGGGCAGAAAAAGGAAAGCAACCGTCTCGATCTCAGGCAATTACGTATTGCGTTGAGATAGTTTCTGCAGAAGTGTTTCCGTTCCGCCAGGTCGTCTTGAAGAAACGAATCCATAATCAAAAGGAAAAGCCGAAGCGTGCCGGCATTTCGCCCTGGGTCCGTGTCGCAAACGGCCTTTTGTTCCGATATTCCGCCGCGGCTCAGCTCCCCCCCAGGTCCGCGGGGCCACCACGCAAACGGGGGATCCAGAAGATCGTGAAATGTCAGTTCTGTCCCCGCTCTTCTACGAGCGGTGCGCGCGCGCGTCTCGTCCAATTTTGAAACCGTGCCATTCACGACGTCTTACCCGGCGACGCGAGATGTTACTCTTAACGTTCCTGGCTTTGATCTCCTCAGCCCTAGGGGACGCCATCACCCTCCAGACGGAACACGGACCTGTCAAGGGTCGGGTCGCCGTCAAGGACGGTGTCAAGCCCTACGTCGCCTTCGTCGGCATACCCTATGCCCTTCCTCCCATCGGACAGCTCAGGTTCAAGGTAAATAACCGATTTAAACAACACAGAAACCAAGACCCATGATGTCCACAGTCTCCCAAAGAACCACAGCCGTCGCTAATTCCCCAAATCTAAGGGTCAAGTCTTAAAAAATAACACACCCTAGGAAAGAACAATCTGAAAAATCAGTCCCTTCCTTACGCTTTCCTGACACATCCTCTCTTCGACCACTGTCGACAAACCAAGAAAAAACTTAACACATCGAGCTTTGTTTTATCCGCTTTTAAACAAACATAAAACATGCGAAAAAAGAAGAAATGCCGCAAAAGGAATTACAAGGTTGAGGTCGATTGTGTAGAAAGTAAAAGTAGTAAGGAAGGAACGCAAGTTTTATTTTTAAACACGGCGTCTAACGTCCGTTTGCTTCCTTCTACTCTTTTATTTAAAAAATACTTCGTTTTGTTTATATAAATAGCTTTATCAAGGTGAAAAAGTCACGACCTCGTCAAAAACCCTGCGCTCAACAGTCGGTGCTATGTCAACGAGAAACACAGCAAAAAGCGCATGAAAGCCATAAAAAACACACACGAATACAATTAATTTTATTAAATCTAATAAATAAATCAGAACCGGAGATTTAAACCTTTCGAAAAGTTTTTGCCGATTGCATCCCCAATTTTTCCCTCTTATAATGGCATAAATTAAAAACCAATTGGTCGTAGTTTCGGTAGCTTGCAAGCGATTCAAGTAACGTCCAATTTGGATAAAATCCACAGGAGTTGTGGATTTTTCCAATCACCTCAAACTAAGTCAATTGCCAGCGATAATTTTCAGATTGTGAAAATTAGTTTTCATTTTTTTCTAACGCAAATATTTTGGCCTATTTTACTCAGAAAAAAAAACATCGGATGATAACCTGGGAATACAATCAGCTTTCTATCAATCTCGACCACTTATTCACTCTACTAACTCACTTACCCTTAATGACTCACTGACACTCACTCAATCTCCATCTCACTAACTCTGACTCACTCATTCAATCACTAACTCTCTCTTTCACTCTCTCACTCACTCACTCTGACTCTTTCATTCTCTAACTCACTCACCATTAATGACTCACAGTCACTCACTCACTCTTCACTCGATTATTCATTTACCAACTCTATCTCACTCATTCTCTTATTCACTCGCTTACTCCCTCACTACTGTCCGTCACTCAATCACTCATTTACTCACTAACGCACTCTCAGTCTCCCTCTCTCATTCACTCGATAAATCATTCCCTCATTCACTCACTTACTAACACACCGTCATTCACTCACTCTCAAACACTCACTGTCACTCATTCATTTTCACGTTAATTGTAAGAGAGGTCGTCCGTGACTAAAACTTGCTAGATTTCTTAAATAAAACTATATTCAATCTCTCATTGTTATTCACTCTCTCTCTCTCTCACACTCTCTCTCTCTCTCTCTCTCTCATACACTCACTCACACACACACACACACACACATACACACACACACACACACACACACACACACACACACACACACACACACACACACACACACACATACTTGCTCTCTTATTCACTTACTCCCTCACTCTCAATTACTCACAGACACTCACTAACTCGCTACCAATGACTGTCTCTTCTAACTCACTCATCTCTCTCTTTCTCTCTCTCTCTCCCTCCCTGATCTCTTTCTGTCTCTCTCATTCACTCTTTTCGTATTCCCTTACGCCTTCACTCTCAATGTCTCACAGCCACTCATTCACTCTTTCCTAATGACTTCCTGTCACTCACTCGCTCTCAATGATTCCTCTTCTAACTCACTCGTCTTTCTCTCCCTCCCTCTCACTCCCCCTCTTTCTCTCTCTCTCTCCCTCTCCTAACTCTCACTGACTCCCTGATATGTCTCTCACTCCCTCTCTCTCTCATTCACTTACTTCCTCACTCTCAATAATACCCACTCATCCACTCTTTCCCAATGACTCCCTGTCACTCACTCGCCCTTAATGACTCTCTCTTCTAACTGACGCATCTTTTTTTTTTCTCTCTCTCTCTCTCTCTCCTGACTCATTCACCCCCTAATCTCTGTCTCTCATTTTATCTCGTCGTCTAATGAAGGTTTGACGAGAAGAAATGCTATACACTAAATAAGAAAAAAATATATATAAAAAAAAGAATAAGAAATGACACAGAATCGGAAGTCTACCTTGTGTAACCCCAATTCGATGTGAATCGCCGACTCCTTAATATGCAAGGACTTTATGAATATGCTGAGGGGATTTCCTCATTTTTTGACGGGCGTGTGTTTGAAACGGAAGAGAGAGAAAGTAAAAGCGAATCGGCCTCTTCCGACACACAGGCCTCAATAAATAATAACAATGAGGACAAGTAACACCGGTAATTATAATAATAATAATTATTATTTTGTATCAAGGAAATAAGGCGTCGGGCCGTGTAAGGTGTAAGATTGAAATGAAATTTTGCAAAAATTTGACATATGTTTTATGTCAAAATATGTTTTGATCGTTGGGATTTTAAGATTTTTTTTACCTTGGATCCTCCTGGCTTCTTCCTTTCGTCATCATCATCACAGGATCGTGTCGAAAAAGAAAACGGTGGTCGTCAAAGAAAATTGGAAAAAGAAAAACCGAAGGAAATCCTGGCGTGAGGACGGGGATTGAGAAACGAAACGACGACAACTTGGGAGGGGAAAAATTAAAAAAACAAATGTTTACTGTAAAAAAAAGAAAAACCGGGGAAAAACATTTTTCTCATAAAAAAAATCATGAAAATTAATTTTAAACAATATAAGGAGAGAAAGAGCCACGAGAGATTGGGAACCGGCCCTAGACACGGTTCCCACGGGGAGTACTTCGCCACATTTTGCCACTTACTATCCGGATCGCGTGAAAATATCGACGTGGGTTTTGTCGCGTTTTTAATTTTTTTTCTTTTTTATATGGGAACTCAATGCTCCGGTTAAACGGAAAGAGTTCCGTTTCGAAAGACGGCGAAGGACGCGACCCGGAACATGCGGGACGTTGGTAAGGCCGTTTCCCAAGATCTACAACACCTCTACTAAACGCAACGACGTACTGATAGACCAAGGTTGATTTTGTCTGATATGAGACAGTCACACCCGTGACACAGCATAACACATGAACGGGGAGAGGACTGCTTGAATACTGAATGGACTATACGACCTTCTGACTGTATTCTATAGGTCCCGGGTCGGATAATCCCTCTAGATTAACAGTTCTTCTTTAAATCTGCAACACCATGTATAAAAATTTCACTCGCTAAAAGTCCGTGTCTTTGAGGAGAGCATCAGGCAGAATACTGTATACGACCTGACTGTAATCTATAGGTTCCGGGTCGGATAATCATTCTGGATTAATAATTCTTCTTTAAATCTGCACCACATATAAAACATCAAATGGTAACAATCTTTATCCTGATTCAGAGGGATTTGACTATGTACAATATGTACTGTACGACCTCGTGATGGATTGCATCCCAGGTCGGATAATCTCTCCATATTCATAAATCTTCCGTGAATCTGCAACACTGTATAAAAGATCAAATGGCAATCATCGTTATATTGTTTAAGAGGGATTTGTCTGGGTACTGTATGGACTATATGACCTCGTGATGGATTGCATCCCTGGTCGGATAATCTCTATATTCATAAATCTTCCGTGAATCTTCAACACCCTGTATAAAAGATCAACAGATAATAATATTTATCTTGATTCAGAGGGACTGTGTAATATATGGGCAATGTGACCTCGTGATGGACTGTAGTCCCAGGTTTGATAATCCCTGTAGATTCATAAATCTTGCGTAAATCTGCAACACCATGTATAAAAGATCAAACGGTAAAATCTTTATCTTAATTCAGAGGAATTTGACTGTGTATATGGACTATATGACCTCTTGATAGACTGTAGTCCCAGGTCTTATTATTTATTGACTTTTAGGACCCGGTTCCATTGCAAGATGGGAAGAATGTTCTCAACAACACCCTCTCCCACCCTGCTTGCCTTCAGCAAAGGCCAATAGTCGAGAACAACAACATGATGCTCACAAGCGTCAAAGGAGAAGAGGACTGTCTGTACGTCAGCGTCTACGCCCCTGTGGTATGTCTTTTATTTTCTCCTTTTCCATCTGCTTGACATGTTTGAATTCCAGACGGTCTTCTCCTTGAAAGACAAGCTGTTTCCCGTCATGGTGTTCATCCACGGCGGCGGATATATGTTCGGCTATCCCGAAGACTCTCCGTCGCGCTTCACCGATGAAGACGTGATCGTAGTTTATGTGACGTACAGGCTCGGACCTCTGGGCTTCATGGCCACTGGGGACGGCGTGATCCCGTCAAACGTCGGTTTGAAAGACCAGGCCTTGGCGCTCCGCTGGGTCCGAAGGTACATCAAGTCGTTCAACGGCGACCCGGACCAGGTGACCCTGGTCGGACAGAGCGCAGGTGCAGCGTGCGTCCACTACCACATGATGTCGCCAAGTTCCAACGGCACGTTCCAGAGGGCGATACTGCAGAGCGGATCGCTTTTTGCGCCATGGGCTGCGACGACTATGGATGAGATGAAGGAGAAGACCTTCTTCCTCGCATCGAAGCTCGGCTGTCAAGGCGATAGCAATGAAATCCTCAGCTGCATGCAGAACCTCGGAGCTGACGTCGTCGTCACCGCCCAGACTGTCTTCAACGTAAAACCATAAATTTACACCCCCAAAAAAACCCACACTCTAATCAACCTCACCTTTTCAGTTTTGGGACGTAGACCCAGTGACGATATTCGTGCCCGTTCTCACTGGAGAAACCCTCGTTGAGTCGAAGATGCCCATCCTCACCGGTGTCAACTCTTTGGAAGGCGGTTTAAAAGCATTCCGTAAGTACATAACGGCAAAAAAACAGTACGATCATAACAATTTTTTTTTCCGTCCCAGTCCTTAAAAACGCAAGCTCGGAAAAGATCGAGGACTTCTTGGACAACAAGGAGGACTTCCTTCGCCGCATGATGTTCCTGGGAGAGGACGATGAGAGCGTGAAGACGGCCCGGGTCGTTGTCACGAAATACCTGAAGGACGTCACGACAAAGAGGCAGCTCATTAAATCACTAGTGAACGTAAGCCAGCCATAATATTGCTACTACTTTACGTGATTTACATACGACACCCTACGAGGTAGATATTCCCTTACAATTTTTGATTTTTGTTTACTGCTATCTTCTTTGTCCAATATGGTTTGGATGAGCAAACCCAAAATTGGTACGGAATATTTTCAACAGCTAGTCTAGTGGTCTGGTTATTAGGTCACCAATGGAAGGGATTACCAATAGGGAAACCCTAGGAGTTTCATCCTTACAACTTAGGTGAGTATTTTAAGATCTACTTGTCCAATATGCTTTGGATGACCAAACTCAATATTGGTGTAGAATATTTTCAACTACCCGACTAGTGGTCTAGTTATTAGGTCACCAATGGACACAGGGAAATCCTAGGAGTTACATCCTTACAATTTGGGTGATTATTTTAAGATGTTTTTGTCCAATATGCTTTGGATGACCAAAACCAAAATTGGGAAGGAATATTTTCGACTCCAGTCTAGTGGTCTGGTTATTGGGTCACCAATGTACATAGGGAAACCCTAGTAATTACATTCTTACAATTTTTCATGCTCTTTTTCGTCCACAACATTTTGGATGACCAAAACCAAGAGAGTTGTGGAATATTTCTGACTCTATTATTACGAGTCTGGTAGTTATTTCACCAAAAAACGTAGTAAAACCCCAGGGGCTTCATCCTTCCCATTTGGGTGATTCTTTGATGAGATCTTCGTTGTCCAATATGCTTGGATCACCAAAACCAAAATTTGCACGATATATTTTCAACTGGGAGTAAAGTGGTCTGGTTGGTTGGTCATAGGGAAACCCCAGTAGTTACATGCTTTCAATTTGGGTGATTATTTCAAGATCTTCTTTGCCCAATATGTTTTGGATGACCAAAACCAAAATTGGTTGGAATATTTTCAATGGCCAGGATAGTAATCTGGCTGGTAGGTCCCGCATTAACACCGTGTTTTCAGTTTTACTCTGAAGTCTACTTCCTTGCGCCCGAGCTCGTGACGACAATGTACCACAAGGGCAAGATCTACACGTATGTCTACGACTACAGGGGTAGAAGTTGCGACCTGAGGGACATCCAGCTCGATGGCCTGTGCGGCCTCCATTCCGAGGAGCTTTCGATGCTGTTCAGGAAGGATGACGGGCCAATGGAAGAGCCGGAGGACGAGTTCTACGCCAGACAGCTGGCCAGACTGTGGGTCGATTTCGTCAAAAATGGGTAAAATCATTTATGAAGAAAGAAAGACAGAAAGAAGAACGAAGAAAGTTTTTTTTTTTCTTTTAGCGACCCTACACCAGGTGATGAGTCCAAGTGGAACCCGCTTGGAGAGAAGTTTGAATACCTGACGATGACCAAGGGCGGCTTCTCGATGAGGGAACACTTCCTCAAAAAGGTCTGGGGCCTCACGAACTTCTTGTACAAATTCAATCGAAATTGAAATTCGATCGCCTCCCTGGCCGACCTTGATGTACAACAATAAAAACAAAGATACTCAAATTTTACAATAATTTATAATTATTAGTATTTATTTTTTTATGATGTGTAATAATTGGTCTACTAGATTTTATTTTATATTTTTCTTATACAAACTTTACTAATTGACCATAACAGGAGGAAAGAACAAGTTGACGCCAATAAAATTAATTTATTGGGGCAAATCAATAAAAAATGACCTTTGTTAATTTTTCAATCGTCTATTTATTAAAAAAAATCCTTTTGTACTGATAGATTTTAGTTCATTCACCAAAGCCTGGAAAAAACTTTAATTTATTTTTTAATGGATTTGAGCCTTTTTGTTTAAAGTAAGTTTGGTCCAAAAATAATCTTTTGTTTAAAGTAAGTTTGGTCCAAAAATAATCCTTCCAGACGATTATTTTCGACAAAAGATATCCTCCCTTTTTGTTTAAAGTAAGTTTGGTCCAAAGAATCTGTCCAAAAATACAAATGGACGATTATTTTGGATGAATGATATCCGTGAAAAGGCCGAAAAACTGATCGTTCTGCATAATTTTTAGTTCACTCAGTAAATTTTGGTCCCTCCCAGCGGATTTTGGCCTTTTCTGTCTAAATTAAAAATTTTCAACCAAATCCAACCAAAAACACACCAAGAAAATGATTATTTAGAAAAATAAACCAATAAAAATATGTCAAATGTAAATGTTTTACCAGTAGATTTTAGTTCATTCAGTAAAGCTCAGAAAATTTTGGCCTTTTCTGTCTAAATTAAAAATTATCAACCAAATCCAACTAAAAACAAACCAAGAAACTTAACTGGTTATTTATTTTTTTTATAGAAAAATGTTTCTATATTTTTCAATTTCTTCCCGCCAATTTTGGTCGTTTTCCATCCTGGAACCTGTAAACTTGATCGTCCAAGTTTATAAAATCGAGAAGGTAAAAAATTATTTTTTAAACCTTTTTTACATTTTAACGGTTCCGTGTCGCTGTTTTTTGAATCCGCCCGAGCCGCGTTCGAACAGTTCCTTTACGAGTTTTCTATTTCCTGTCACACTTTTTCTTCCTTTTCATCCAGCCAATATCGGTTCTTTCATCAGGTTTTTGAATGTAAAACAGAATTATTAGATCGGTATAAAAAAACAAAACAAAAAAAGGTTTAATTATAAATAAAGGTAAAAAAAGGAAGCTCTATATTGCAAATTGTCATCTCGTCAGCTTCAGTGAAGCTTTGTAGATGTCTTTTGTCACCGTGTCAACAGCGCTCACGTGGATTTCATCGTTTCTGTTTAAAAAAAAGAAAAAATAAGAAAAATTAAAAAATAAAAATAATTAAAACTTACAATAACACTTTGACGTGGAATTCCACTTCTTTCGGTCTGTTTTCAAACTCCATGCTCGCCTGCCGAGTCAAATTTTGATTAATTATTTAAAATAATTACTAGTTATTAAGTTGTGTTACCTCGCCTTGCAGCTGTTCGTCTTGTCGGTTTTGAACCGCTTTCATCGTCACCGATGAGCTGTCAAGTTCCATCGTGAAGTAATCTGAAGTCGGCAGATAGTTCTTCTCGATTCTCACTTCTTTTTCGTTTACCTGAATCAAATTTGACGTCGATTTTTTTTTTTTAAATAGAAAGTTTTCGAAATTAGCTTACCTTTAAAGTGATGGGTTCGTTAAGGAATGGTATTTGTACTGTTGGCGACGACAGATCAGCTTTGTTAGGCAGTCCAGTCAGGAGGCCGGCTTGCTGGGCAGCGCCCGTCGCGTACACCTCGTCCGGGTTGAACGACGAACAGGATTCGCATGAAAAGAAAGACGCGACGACGGACTTCAGCTTTGGTATCTTGAGCGCGCCGCCGCACAGCACAACCTTCGACACGTCGGAGCTGTCGACCCCGGCATCCCTCAGTGCCTCGGATATGGGGGCAGTGAATTTCGGGACGAGAGGGGTTATCAAAGCGTCGAGCCTAGCCCTCGAGACAGTAACGTTGAAGTCGATACCGTCGCACACAGACTCGATGAACCTCGAACAGGACGGGAGGGTTGAAAGCGTGTGGAGGATCCCAGATGCGGCAATCTTCAACTTCCATATCGACTTTCTGCTCTCGGACGGTTCAAGATGAAATTTTCTTCAAAATAAAAAAAATAATAATTAAAAACAAAAAAATTATATATGAACATTTTAATGTTCTATTAGTAGTATGTTTTCAAAATCATGACATGACTCTTCTTCTGTGTTAATTTCACTTGTAAATCTAAATTATATTAGTTGATTCCACGTCTGTAATAATAATCTTTATTTACGGCATGGAATGCCAATCACAACATACATTTGTACATCATTCCATATTATTACATCCTTGCATATGCAGCTTTTTCTTAAACACATGAATTGAGTTGCAAAATGGGTCCACATGCAAAGAATTTACAAACTGACACGTTATCATAATTGATTGATTGAAAATAGTTCAAAAGAAGGGATATAGAACGGGTTTTGATATCTATTTACCCTTTGTGGAACATTGAACATAACTTAACATAAGTTACTAGTTGATCCGAAGTCAACATCACTGGTCCTTTAGGGTTGCCCATTAAAAGTTCCATCAAGAGTAAAGCAATTTTTGCATAATCTTTGATAAATTTTCTAAAATAGCCAGTAAGGCCCAAAAAATGATTTCAAAGTTCGGTAAGTTTTTGGTTCGGGGAAATTTTCTACGGCTTTAGTTTTATATACAGATGGTCGAACAGTGTTTTTTTACTAAATGTCCTAAATATTCAATAGATGTTTTAAATAATTAGCACTTCTTATAATTAACGTCTAAACCATATTTAGAACCACGAGGAATTACAATTTCTAAATTTTTCGCTGCTTCAGTTTCATCTTTTCCAGGAAAGATAATATCATCAAAATACAAAGTCATAACTTTTTTGTAAATCAAGTCAAGAAAAATACACACCTTACAACCTCACATACCTTGCAAGAACTGCAGGGGAATTACACAATCCAAACGGGGCTCGTAAAAATTTATTATGTCCAGCTGGGAATCGCATGTATTTGCGGCTTTTTTTCGACTACTGGTACATGAAAAAAAAATCCGTTTTTCAGATCAATCGAGCTAAAAATGGTGGCACCTTGTGACTGGTCATAGGGTGTCGGTCTTTAATTAACTTTTTGTTGAAATGTCGGAAATCGACGCTTTTTTTTATTATCGCATTTTATTTTTTATCGCATCGGATAAAATTATTCTCATTTTAATGACAAAAACTTTGATTTTATCTGGCTTGTAACTATCCTTTAGTTCTTCGACGAATGATTTACACTGAGCTATTGTGACTTCAATCCACTCGGACTAACTTCCCATCTCAACCCTACCTTTCGAATTTTCACTCCTTTTTGCCGTTTTTCAAATGTCGTATAATCAGAATTAGATACTCAGTGACAAATGAAATGGACACGAAGAGGTTTAGTGAAGAATACTTCATTTTACTTATTAAATCCATTAGATTTCGTGGTCCGATTGACCAAGTAACTTCTATCAATTAATTAATCTTTATAAGGTGTTGGTCGAAATAAAAAAGCCAGTGTCAAGAGCGGGATTCGAACCCACGACCTTCAGCTAAACCACTTGTGCTATTGTGACTTTGATCCACTCGGACATCAACTTCCCATCTCAACCCACCTTTTGAATTTTCCCTAATTTTTTGCCATGTTTCAAAGATAACAGAAGGAAGACTATTCGTACTTTTTTTATCACGAACACAAGACCAGAAGTTTCTTGGTTTTTCTTCAAATCATTTTGAATCCCACTTATGCAGTTGGCATAACAAGACGCTTCAAGTTTTTGACAATGTGAATGTAGTTGTGAGAATTTGTTATAATCTTCATTTAACCTTGTTATTTTATAATGTTTCTGTGCAATTTTCTTTTTGAATATTAATGATTTTAATTCGCCACTAAAGTATTTTGGAAATTTTGGATTTGATAGTTTTTTTACAGGAACATAAATTCTAAATACAATAGGATTAACGAGCCATCGTTTGGGTTGACCGTTTTGTTCACCATGCTATTTTGAATATGTAGTAAAATAAAGTGTAAAATAAAATATGTAGTAAAGTAAAATCTTTTTTCCTCTTCCTAAAAAGTTTTTTAAAGTGAGGAATATTCCAAGAGACACGTGATGTTTTTCATATTCTTGGATGTCGGGATATCCCCCATCATCAGGAAATCCTAACAAGAAGTACAATCAATTATTATACATTTCAAGTGTAGCAATTAATATTATTTTCATAGTTAAATGGTTTTATTTTACGGTTAAAATTATCTGTGATAATTAACCTCTCCCCTACTCTCCCATTACATTTTTTCTTTAATTTTTACTTTTTTTCCTCTTCCTTAAAGAAAAAATGCAATAGCAGAGTAGGCGAGAGGTAATTATCATAGATATTTTTAACTATACCGTTGAAAAATGTAATAATTGATTGTATTTCTTGTTAGAATTTCCTGATTATGGAGAGGAAAAAAGCCCTAAATGGTTAAGAAAAATGGTGATTAGTGACTGTTAATTGATATTTATTTAGAAATTGTGAGATGCGGTCTGGTGTGATGTAGGTTTCAGAAAACAACATAACAAGACAAAACACCTAACCAACATGCTCAACAACATCACAGTAACACATATAATGTAAATGATTCATTTCATTTCATTAACAAAATTAATAGATAAATGGCCCAACATAACACCACACACAACTCTATCAAAGAACATGTTCATTACAATGATCTGACACTGCTGTGTTAACGGATATTTTACATACGACAATCAATTTTACAAACAACTTTTTGGTATAGCCATGGGTAGCAGCAACCTAGGCCCGATACTGGCAGACATAATCATGACACTTCTACTAAATACAGTCATACCACAACTTCCTTTCACATTACCCTTCCTCACTAAATACGTAGATGATAGCTGTTCCCACAGATCAAATTCAAACTACATTAGATACATTTAATAGCTTTCACCCACGCGTACAATTTACACATGAAATCGAAAACAACAAAAAAATACCATTTTTAGATACACTCGTAATATAACAACCAGATGGCCCATTAATCACAGAATCTTGGTATACAAAACCAAGAAACACAGATCGCTACCTCAACTTTACATCTCACTATCCCCTTCATACAATAATAAACACGGCCAAAGGGTTACTTCACGGAATGATTACCTTGAGCCATGAATCCTTCTACCACAAAAACATAAAGATATACAAACAGATCCTCCATAACAATCTCTACCCTAAACACATAATTAACAGAATAATCAACAATTACAATCCATCCACTATTAGTAATAATACTACAAGTCTATCGAATACAAACAAACCAGCATACATTTCCATACCATTTATCCAAGGCCTATTACATAAATTAAACACATTTCTCTTGTCCGATAACTTCAAAATAGCTTCAAAAATTATAAAACAATTCGAACACTTTTTTCCAAAATTAAAGATCCCACACCAATAACAAATAAATCTGACTTAATCTACAAGATCAACTGTTTAAACTGTTCGGCAACTTACATCAGTCTTATATCCCAATATCTGGACAAGAGAGTAAAGCAACATATCTATGAAACACAATTTCGACTTCAAAAATCCAAAAGTATTACACACAGAACAAAACAAACATAAACGTAATTTCTTAGAAATGGTTTATATCAACAGAGATAAACACAGCATCAATTACAGAACAGATACATGTAAACTCAGTCGCAGCTACGCCAATATCATTAATCAAATTCAATACAGATAACATACCTACTTACACATTACTTTCCACACATCAAATATTTTTCACATAGTCTAATTTTCCAACAATTTAGCTTTCCTTTTCCTATTTATCCCTTTCTATATAATCCTGAAAGGATAATCTGGCTGAACCATTACCAACACATTTTTTCCCTTCGTCGACTCTTTTCACCTCAAAGAAGCCGACGCCTTATACGAAAATGTCTTTTCTATACCGACATCCTTCCCCATCCTTTCAAAGTCCAACATATATAAACACAAAATAGCAAAATCTCACTGGCACTCTCGACACGACATGCAAGAATGGCACAATTACACAGAAGAAAAACACTGAGTGAGTAGAAATACTTTGATTGAATATATAAAAAATATATTTTGCATTGTATAAATTCACTTTTCCACATCCAAAATGTAATTGTTATATGTAAACAATGTTTGTAAATCCCAGGCCCTGAAGATGATCTCAATAAAGATCGAAGCATTGGCACGATAAAGAAAATGTTTTTCTGAAACCTACATCACACCAGACCGCATCTCACGATTTCCAAATAAATAGGTTAAGAAAAATATGAAATAAAATAAACCGCTTTTTCATCTTAAAAAACATTTTGGGAAGAGAAAAAAAAAGGTTAATTTTTTTTTCTGTTTGTTTACATTTTTCTAATTATTAAAATATATTTTATTAGAAAAATTAACTGAAAATGTAAAAATAATCAAAAATTTGTAGTATTTAGTGATGGTTAATTTATGGTTTATTTACAGATAGTGAGATGAGGTCTGGTGTGATGTAAGTTTAGAAAAACATTTTCTTTACCGAGCCAACATTTAAATCTTTTAGTCCATTTACGTTTAGTGGTCTAATTGACCAAATTACTCATTTCAATTAATTATTCTTTTTATATAAGGCCTTGGTTGAGATGAGATTAATATTTAATAGGATAAAGAAATATCACTTCACTAGCAGCTCCCCGTGGACACTTCATTATTCGCTGACAAGCGAAGAATCCTGCAAGTGGATCGAAGTCACAATAGCTCAAGTGGCTAGAGCAACGGCATATTGAGCCAAAGGCCGTGGGTTCGAATCCTGCAAGTGACACTAACGTTTTCATCTCAACCAAGACCTTACATAAAAAGAATAATTAATTAAAATAACTCTTTATTGAGATCATATTCAGGGTCTGGGATTTATAAAAATTCGTTTAAAATGTGAAATGTACACAATATAGAAATTTTAAGTTTAATCAAAGTATTTGTACTCAGTCAAAGTGCGTTTTCTGTGTAGATGTGTCACGGTTTTGAGGAGTGTTGAGTGTTAAGGTGGCCATTCACGATCACTCCAAATGGAACCGCGCCAAGCTGTACAGCTCCATTTGGAGGCCTGAAATTTGACAGGGCATTCATGACCACTCCACAGCCAGTCGCTCCGAACGTCAACCAGTGAATTACCTTCTCAAAATGGATGACGATCTCTTGTGCTACGCTTCGGTTTATTTATATATTAAAAGCAAAAAATCGAAGAGGAAATGGTGTAAGAAGTGGCTCCTGAACAGAAGCCGTAATACCCACATCAATTTGATGAAAGATCTTTCCCTTGAACCCGCTGATTGGAGGAACTATTTAAGGATGGATGAAACGTCTTATTTATTCATTATATTTAGTGTTCTATTGACCAAATTACTTCTTTCAATTAATTAATCTTTTCTTGTATGTTTAAATAAATAGTAAATCTTTCAAATTTCTTTTATTTCTATCGTGGTAATCTTTGTCCACCACTTTCCATAAACATGGTAAACTTGCATACAATTCAATCACCTCAGCAATAAAATCTCGATTGGATGTCATTACTCATTACCAATAAAGAATAAACGTTTTTGACTTTTTGAGAATGTATGACGGAGATGTTTGCTCAGTGACAGAAAGACGGAGACTGCGCCAAAAAAACGCGGGTTTTCCCATTCACGGATGTGCCATGCCGTCGTCGCGCCGTAGATATTTCGAGTGGTGCGATGGAGTTTGGATCGGTCGAATATTCGGCACTGCCGGGCATGCCAGTTCAGTTTTGCCATTGATGTGGTTTCTGGAACGGCATCGCTCTGTTTGGACTGCTAGGAGCGATCGTGAATGGCCACCTTTAGTGTGACATTAATATTTTTTTGTTCATATAAGTTTGATTTTGAAGAAGTGGGGAAGGAAGTAGGGAAATTTATTTTTCTATGAGGAGTCGGCTTCTTTGAGGTGAAAGGGAAAAAAGGGTTTGTCGTTCCTAGGTTAGCCTTTCAGGATTATTAGGGAAATGAAAGATAAATTGTTGGGGATTTTGAGTATGTAGGATTGTTTGATATGTGGAGTGTAATGATTGTTTTATATGTTGTATTATATGATTTGTCTGTTATATGTGTGTTATTGATTTTAGCGTAGCTGCGGCTGAGTTACACGTGTTTGTTCTGTAATTGATACTGTGTTTATCTCTGTTGATGTAAACCATTTCTAAAAAGTTACGTTTATGTTTATTGTAGTTGGTGTTTAATATTTTTGGATTGTTGAAGTCGAAATTGTGTCGATGTTGAAAATGGTGGGTAGCCAGTACTGTAGGATTTTGCAATCGTAGATACATTGTTCTACCCTCTTATCCAGATAGGATGTATTTCCAATTAAGTTGCCGGACAACTTATACAATTGATTTTATAAATTTCATCAGATTTATTTGTTACAAGTGTGGGATCTTTAATTTTGGATAAAAAGTTGTCAATAGTTTTACAGCTTTTGAATGCTATTTTATCAATTACAAGTTTATTTTTTAGTTCAAGATGATGTCTTTCCATGGTTAAAGAGAAGACAATTGGATTAAAATGGAGAAAAAGTGGTTTTTTTTAAAAAATGAGAAATTTTTTTGTCAAATAGTATTTCTTTCTGCAGAAACAATGACTTTTTTGCGCTTTATTCGATTGACATAGTGTTATTTTGGCTTTGACGTCCTATTTAAGCTTGTCATGTTGGGCTTAGGTGGTGCCGTTTTAAGCAGCGAGAAACTTCCATTCATTGACTTTTACTTTTTTAAAGTATGTCGATTCATCGATTTAACCATTGGAAGACTGGTAAAAAAACTATAATAAAAGGTATTACTTTCCAATGAAAATTCTCGACATTTCACAATAAAGTCCTGTTCCTTGAAAAGGGATGAAACGGCCGACTTGTGGTACTTGTTCGGCAACATTTTCCCAATTGATCTCAGTGACGCTCTCCCTGCCAACAGGACTCAAATGTCCCTCATTTGAATTTGAATAAGACCATAAAAAAGTTTATAAAATTCAGACTTTTTATTGTTTTTTGTAATGTATGAATGATGTGATTTCCGACGGTAATTCAATTCAAAGCGTACAAGACGGGCGTGGCAAATATGCAGCCATGGAATGACAACGCTCCACTTGAGCTCGTATGTCTTCACTAATTGGATGGAAAAATAAGTATTCTAATCTTGTTCTAATAAACAAAAGGCCCACCGGTATTAATAAATATTCGGCCCATTAGACTGGGTATTGAATTCAATTGAAAATCGGGGGGGGGGAAGGATACACCTTTTATATTAAAACTTCTGTTTGCAGGAGGGATTTATTCGAAGCAACTTGATTCATTACTATTTTTTGTTTTATTTGGTTGTAGCAAAAGATGTTTTCTTTGACTTTAAATGAGTGTTAAAACTGAAATACATATTCCCCAAACTCCATCAGTGTCATATCAACAACACAAAGGAATTATGAGTACAGATAAACTGCGGGATTAACAGCTTTTTTTAAAGATAGGATCAAAATCGCTGAAATGAATCAGCCCTCAACTATCGGGTAGCCAGGATTTTGTTTGGGTTTTTTGCAATCATAATCATGATGCAAGAAGAACTCAATAAAGATTGAAATGGCACAATAAAGAAAATGTTTTTCTAAACATACCTCTTACGATCTCCAAATAATCACTAATTAATGGCCACTAAATACTACGCACATGTAGATGCATATGTTTAAATCACAAAATGAGGCTACATAGGATTTAAAGTGTAAATCTATGTTATTTGCACACTTTAAAGTATAAAATTATGCTATAAAAAGGGGTTTGAAGTGTGAAATAGTTGTTAAAATTTATTACCAATCTTTAAAGTTGGACTAAAAGACTAAGACTAAAATGATTTTAAGTGCTGAAAATGTAGATGGCACGCATGATTTAAAGGATGGAATTTGGCAACATAAGGAGGAATTAATGCTAAAATGTGGCGACATGTGTGTTTAAAGCGTATAAAGTTGAAATTTACCTTTTGAATTCTTCAGCCAGGTGATCGGTTAAAGATTTGACGATATCTTTCCCTCCAACGTCGCAATGCCGTACGTGGCTTAATATCGCCTGAAAGCCGCACATGACTTTCAAGACGGTAGCATCGCAGCTTACGCCACCGAGGCGATACACAACAACCAGCCTGGAAAAGTTTTGATTTTAATGAATAAACGTGAAAAGTAGGAAGAGAGATAATACTAACGAATCGACGGGAGGTTTTTCAAAACCGATCTTGTAAGCAAGCAACGCAGCAGTGGGCTCGTTTATTATCTGCCTGACAACCCAGCCGGCAGTGGTGGCAGCGCGGCGCACGATGTCCCGACTCTCATTGTTCCAGTGCCGCGGAACGCACAGAACGCAATTAAGGCTCTTCTGCCCTGGTGTGGCACCAAGTCCAATTCCTATTCACCAAAAACAAAAACAAAAAAATTAAATTAAATTGAAAATAAAACAGTATAGAATAAAAATACCATAGAGTTTTTGAAATATAAGTGTAGCGACTTGCTCTGGTGTGTACACGAGAGGTTTTTTGTCAGTTTCGAATATGTTGTACGTCAAATCATCGAATATGTCACCTTCGATCTTGACCTGGCTGTTCGCCCGGCATGATGAGATCTCCTCAGCAGTCAGAGTCGAGTCGAGTAGCATCTTGTTGTTGCGCACCGTTAACGGGGCCAATGAGTACGATGTAGCACCCGCCACTGATCCCACGACCTAAAATAAAACATTTGGTTTAAAAATATCAAGCTTTATAGTTTTAAATAATTCACTGAATTTAAATTTGAAATGACAGTCGATTGGAAAACGAACCTGCTCTTTGCTGTTGAGGATGACAACGGCAGCTGTGACCCGTTCGCCGGCCTCGTTGGCAAGTATTTCCACCTTTCCATCCTCCTGTTGAACACGAAGAAAAACAAGTTAAAAACAGCCGCTTATGAAAGCTATACGTCACGAGATGAGTTATGCAGGTCGAGTATTGTCCGACAAGCTTGTACTCATCTTGCATCAAGTATGACAAAACGGTATGTTCAGATTGTCATAAAATTACGAAATAGTTTTAAAAGAAAAAATCAAATTTGTCCGAAACAATAGTGAGCAAGTTACACCTGGCTGATTGACAGTGTAGAACAGTATGATAAGTTGATCTATAGACTTCTGCGTGCCATGTCATTATGTGCCACTGTGTTGTGTGGATACACATGACAATTAAATATCTTCCAACTATTTTATGGTACAGAAAATAATAATATAAAACGGACAATAAACTTTAATATAAAAAATCCAAAACGAGTAACATGGATGCTTGGCCTCGTTCTGTCGGCCAGGAACTACCCAGTACTACAGAAATTTTTTTTAACAAAAAAATAAAAAAATACTTACGCGAAACTGAGCAATGCTCGCCGTCGAGTTGCCAAAATATAGTCCGAAGTTGTTCGACATCAGGCTTAAAATGCATAAAATACTGCGGCCACATAAAAAAGAACGGGCCACCTGCCTTAGGAGGTAAATGTCAGGTTACCGAGCCGGGTTTGTATATCCAAATGTGAGAATTAATTAAAACAAAAAATTAAGAAAGAAAAATAATCAAATTATTAAAGCCTAAAGCTAAAAAATTTACTTTAAACAAAGAAATAAAAATAATTAAAATCTATTAAAAATACAAATTAAGAACAAAATAAAAATCCTTTAAAAAACTCACAGTCGACGAAAAATAATAAAACAAAACTAAAACAACCGATTTGAATAAAAATAAACATAAAATATAAACAAACAAACGACAAAAACTAAGAAAGTCGTGACTTAAAAATTCAAAAAGTTGATCCTGTCACCAGTGAAAGACCGTTACACGCTCCCCGCTCGACAAGTCGCCATTAGTCCGCCGGCTCCGACTGAGTGAAGATCGTGTTCGTCCGTCCGTGGTAAAAACCGTTTATATTCGTTGTTTTTTTGTAAATACGCGATGTTCAAACGATTAGTTTTATGTTTTAATTTGAATTATCTTTTAATCGTAAAATCCGGGGTTAGATCCGTATTGAATTCGGTCGCAGAGCACGTGTATAACCTAAAATGGCGTCGTTAGGCAATATTTTCGTCGATCGTCCTACTTTTTTTATTACATATAACAGCTCCATTCTTTGAAATGTTGAGCTTGTATGCTGCGCTCCATACATTGTTATGTTGAGCTTATGAGACACGCTCTATTCATCGGAATATTGAGCTATTTTCCGGTCGCCAGTAGCACGTGCTCGTCTTGCCTAAAACGGCGTCGTGAATTTTTTTTCTTGAAGTTTCTTAATTATTATTTCTGCTCCATTCTTTGAAATGTTGAGCTTGTACGCAACGCTCCATACATTGATATGTTGAGCTTACGAGACACGCTCTATTCATAGGAATATTGAGCTATTTTCCGGTCGCCGCTAGCACGTGCTCGCCTTGCCACAAATGGCGCCCTGAATTTGTTTTTTCTCGAAGTTTGATCATTATTTCTGCTCCATTCTTTGAAATGCTGAGCTTTTATGCAGCGCTCCATACATTGATATGTTGAGCTTACGAGACACGCTCTATTCATCGGAATATTGAGCTATTTTCCGGTCGCCACTAGCACGCACGTGCTCGTCCAGCCTAAAATGGCGTCGTGTATTTTTTTCCCTCGAAGTTTCTTAATTATTATTTTTGCTCCATTCTTTGAAATGTTGAGCTTTTATGCAGTGCTCCATACATTGATATGTTGAGGTCACAATTTCTATTCTTAAGAATATTGAGCTATTTCCTGTCGCCGTTAGCACGTTCTCGCCGAGCCAAAATGGCGGCGTGAATTTTTTTTCTCGAAGTTTCTTAATTATTGTTGCTGCTTCATTCTTTGAAATGTTGAGCTTTTATGCAACGCTCCATACATTGATATGTTGAGCTTATGAGACACGCTGTATTCATAGGAATATTGAGCTATTGCGATCGACACTAGCACCTACTTGTGTAGCCCAAAATGGCGCCCTGAAATTTTTTTGGAAGTTCGTTAATTATTATTTTTGCTCCATTCTTTGAAATGTTGAGCTTTTATGCAACGCTCCATACATTGATATGTTGAGCTTATGAGACACGCTGTATTCATAGGAATATTGAGCTATTACGATTGACACTAGCACCTACTTGTGTAGCCCAAAATGGCGTCCTGAAATTTTTCTGGATGTTCGTTAATTATTATTTCTGCTCCATTCTTCGAAATGTTGAGCTTTTATGTTGCTCCTTACATAGCTATGCTGAGCATATCAAACAAGCCCTGATCATCACGATCGCTGTTAGCATGTGCTCTCCTCTCGCCCACAATGGCGTCCTGAATTTGTTTTTTCTCGAAGTTTGATTTTTATTTCTGCTCCATTCTTGGGAATGTTGAGCTTTTATGCAGCGCTCCATACATTGATATGTTGAGCTTATGAGACACGCTCTATTTATTCATCGGAATATTGAGATATTTTCTGGTCGCCACGTACTCGTCTAGCCTAAAATGGCGTCGGGAATTTTTTTTCTCGAAGTTCTTAATTATTATTTTTGCTCCATTCTTTGAAATGTTGAGCTTTTATGCAGCGCTCCATACATTGATATGTTGAGGTCACAATTTCTATTCTTAAGAATATTGAGCTATTTCCTGTCGCCGTTAGCACGTTCTCGCCGAGCCAAAATGGCGGCGTGAATTTTTTTTCTCGAAGTTTCTTAATTATTGTTGCTGCTTCATTCTTTGAAATGTTGAGCTTTTATGCTGCGCTCCATACATTGATATGTTCAGCTTATGAGACACGCTCTATTCATAGGAATATTGAGCTATTACGATCAACACTAGCACCTACTCGTGTAGCCCAAAATGGCGTCCTGAAATTTTTCTTGGAAGTTCGTTAATTATTATTTCTGCTCCATTCTTCGAAATGTTGAGCTTTTATATTTTTTGTTGAGCTTTTATAGCTGCTCCTTACATTGCTATGCTGAGCATATCAAACAAGCTCTGATCATAGGAATATTGAGCAATCACGATTGCTGTTAGCATGTGCTCTCCTCTCGCCTAAAATGACGTCCTGAATTTTGAAAATTTTTAAATACTTTTGTTAATTTTTATTTATCCTCCATTCTTGGGAATGTTGAGCTTTTATCATGTTGCGCTCCATACAGTGATATATTGAGCTTATCACACAATCTCCATTCGGTCGTCGTTTTCTTTTTCTTTTTATAACAGCTCTAATTCTTTGAAATGTTGAGCTTTTATGCCGCGCACCATACATAAATATGTTGAGCTTACAGAACCCTCTCTATTCATCGGAATATTGAGCTATTTGCAGAAGCCGCTAGCACATGCCTAGCCTAAAATGGCGTTTTTCCTACGTTTATTATTTCTGCTCCATTCTTTGAAGTGTTGAGCTTTTATACTGTGCTTCATCCATTGACACTGGGCTCCTAACGTCATAATTATACTTTACATAATTATACTCCTAACCAAAAACTAACTAAAAAATTGTACTGTTAAATAACCCATAATCCATTATTTCAAGCCTTTCATACTTTGGGGATGGTTAGGGTATCCCTAACCAAGCCTTTCATACCAAAACCAAAGGGACAGTTGACTGGCCTTGAAGTGAGATCTTAAGAGCCCACGACACAGACTTTCTTTCAACAAGGATGAACCCCAATTCGTATTTTTGCTCTTTCTGCGTCAATTTGTATAGTGACGAAGGTATAACAAGGATGTCTTGTCTCTTCTGACCCTTGGGAAGAATGGAGAACTCAACAATAACACTTGTCTCTTTGGTTCGTCGTCGATTGTCAAATAAACCTTTGCGATCAGTTTTCCTAATCGCAACTAATTTCAGTCCAATAGTGAGTGCATGTGCCACGATACAAAGTACAACTAAACATTTTTTAATATATACATGTTTGTAATCAGTTTCTAATTTTAAAATGGAATATGCAAAAATATTGGTAAAAAAACAAAAAACCTGCGCCTGTTGTTAGATTTTTCTCCATCCTTGCATCTTCCTACAAAAGACGAAAAAAAAGCATGAATTATATATGGCTACCCGTCAAAACCCCGCCATCATAATACCTACCTTTATATCATCATATTTAAAAAAAAGGTTACCATTAAAACCTCCGGCATCATAATCCACCTTTTCATCATCATGTTTTTAAAACAATTGCTTCTTTTCAAAACCTCGCCACTCACAAGTTTGACAATTTATCTTCGAATAATGAGGAATTGGTTCGGTCCTTCGCTACCCTAGTGCAGATTCACAGCGAAATCTTTCTTATTGCACCTTATTGCCTCCATCAATCAGTTGATTGATGAATGAATCAGATCGACGTTTTTTTTAAAGGTCAGCTAGTCTCCTTGACCAATATTACACCGAAAAACATTGGGTCTAGAAAGACTTAAGATTTTTTTATGTATATGTCCCTTATTTGGCCAAGACTTACGATCAGTTTCTCTGCTGTTATAAATAAATTGTTAACGTTTTATTTTATTAAGTTTTTCGATCTGGCCATCCAATTGCACATAAAACAATCCAAGTATGTATTTCACCATAACCAATCACTGTGGGCAAAGAATCCGTGACGCTTTATACCTCATTTACGCCTTATGTGTAAACGTGTCCAGTCGCTACAAGGGTCAACCAGTCTCGCTGACCAACTTTACATCGAAAAACAGCGAGACTAGTAAGACCAAAAAGTTTTTTTTTTTTTTTAACTAAAGGCTATATGCCAGATGCTAAGTCAATTGGGTGATGTTATTAATACCATTTTGACCGTTTATTCTAATATCTTCTTCAATCTAACCAGCCAATTGCACATAAAACAATCCCAATATGTGTTTCACCAAAACCAATCAATTTGGGCAGAGAATGAGTGATATTTTATTCCACTGTTACGTCTTACTTCTTACGTGAACTTGTCCGGTCATTACAAGGGTCAACTAGTCTCCTTATCCCACATTAAACCGAAAAAATAATGAGATTAATAAGGACCAAAGGTTTTTTCAAAACTAAACTATATAAAGGCCTTTTATTTCAACCTGTTCTTAACTATCTAGCAAAATGCACATAAAACAATCCCAGTATTTATTTTATACTCTGACGTGTCCACGGTCATATTGTATGAGTGTGTTTACACCAGTTACGTCCTGACGTCTCTCGTCACTACAAGGGTCTATTAGTCTCCCTGTCCAACTTTAACCCGGAAAACAGCGAGACTAGTAAGGCCCACATTTTTAAATTTTTTATTTTTTAATAATGAACCCTGTACCTCGAGATGTTTCTTGGGTGTTGTTATAAATATATTTTAGGCCTTTTATTCCAAGCAGTTCTTACATCTATCTAGCAAAATGCACATAAAACAATCCCATTATGTATTTTATCTTCTGACATATACACCGTCATATTGATTGACAGGGTGGTTTTCATTATACCAGATCGTTCTGACGTCTCAGTCATTATAAGAGTGTTAGTATCTCTGTCTAACTTTACACCGAAAAACAGCAGACTTTTAAGAACCAAAGTTTTTTTAGACTGAACACTACACTCAAGGCTTAAGATATTTCTTGGGTGTTGTAAATACATTTTAGACCTTTATTCCAAATCGTTCTTAAACCTAACTAGCCAAATGCACATAAAACAATCCCAGTATGTATTCTGACATATCCACGATATATTGTACGAAAAGGTCTTATACCAAATACGTCCTGACGAATCCAGTCGCTAGAAGGGTCTGTTAGTCTCCCTTTCCAACTTGTAAAACTGAAAGGTTTTGTTACGTACACAATATTATTTTTGACGTTAGATCAATCTCATTGAGCGATGTTATTAATACATTTAACCCTTTTATTTCAATATGTTCTTAAACGTAACTTAGTAAAATGCACATAAAACAATCCAAGTATGTATTTCTCCATAACTAATCACTGCGGGCTTAGAATCCGTAATGTTTTATTCCACAGTTACGTCTTATGTGCGAACGCGTGCGGTCCGTACAAGGGTCAACTATTCTCGCTGACCAACTTTACACCGAAAAACAGCGAGACTAGTAAGACCCAAAATATTTTAACTATACTCTATATGCCCAAGACATATGATCGATCAACCACCTGGTTAATAATATAATTTTCGGCCGTTTATTCGTATAAGCTCTTCGATCTAACCAGCCAACAGCACTTAAAACAATCCAAGTATGTGTTTACCATAAGCAATTCAATATGGGCATAGAATCAGTGATGTTTTATTCCACTGTTCGTCTAATGTGTGAACGTCTCAGGTCGCTACAAGGGTCAACTAGTCTCCCTGTCCAACTTGTCTCCCTGTCCAACTTGTCTCCCTGTCCAACTTAACACTGGAAAACAGCGAGACTAGTAAGACCCAACGTTTTTTAGGCTTGAAGACTGCACTCCAGGCTTAAGATATTTCTTAGGTGTTGTTATAAATATATTTTAGGCCTTTTATTCCAAACAGTTCTTTATCTAGCAAAATGCACAAAACAATCCCAGTATGTATTTTATCTTCTGGCATATACACGGTATATTGTACGATAGTCATACCAAATACGTCCTGACGTATCCAGTCGCTAGAAGGGTCTGTTAGTCTCCCTGTCCAACTTTAAACCGGAAAACAGCGACACTTGTAAAACTGAAATACGTACACAACATTATCTCTTGTCAATCTCATTGGGCGATGTTATTAATACATTTAGCCATTTTATTCCAATATGTTCTTAAACCTAACTAGCAAAATGCACATAAAACAATCCCAATATGTATTTTATGTTCAGGCATATATATATCCACGTTCATATTGTATGACAGGGCTTTTATACCAGTTACGTCCTGACGTCTCTAGTCACTACAATGTTGTATTAGTCTCGCTGTCCAACTTAAAACCGGAAAACAGCGAGACTAATAAGACCCACCGTTTTTAAAATGAAATCTATACCCAAGGCGTGAGTTGTCTGTTACAAATATAATTTATGCCTTTCAAAGTTTTACTTCAACCTAACTAGCGAAATGCACATAAAACAATTCCAGTATGTATTTTACCTTCTGACCCATCCACGGTATATTGTACGATAAGGTCATATACCAAATACGTCCTGACGTATCCAGTCGCTAGAAGGGCCTGTTAGTCTCCCTGTCCAACTTTATACCGGAAAACAGCAACACTTGTAAAGCTGAAATACGTACACAACATTATTTCTGACGTAAAGTCAATCTCATTGGGCGATGTTATTAATACATTTAGCCTTTTCATTCCAATATGTTCTTAAACCTAACTAGCAAAATGCACATAAAACAATCCCAGTATGTATTTTATCTTCAGACATATCCATGGTCTATTGTATGACAGGGTTTTTATACAAGATACGTTCTGACGACTCTAGTCACTACGAGGGTCTAATAGTCTCCCTGTTAACTTTAAATTAGAAAACAGCCATACTATTAAAACCGAATTTTTTTTTTCAAACTGAGCGCTATATACCCGACGCTTAAGATATTTCCTGGGTGCAGTTTTAAATATATTTTAGGCCTTTTAACACAGTTGTTAAGCCTTAACACGCCAAAGTGCAATAAAACAATCCCGTATTTCTTAATTAAGATGGAACCAAGCGCATGTCATTAGTAACTCAACATATTCAATAATAAATTATTAGCTGTGTCTTACTCAACAGCCATTTGTGATTGATTGAATGCTTTATTTGTGATGTTTAAAGTCGGTTTATTCTACTTTACATCAGTCCGAATTTAAATTGCCCGTTTGAAATTTAAGTGCGGACTTTGACATTCAAAATATGTTTTTTGTTTGAGATTTAATATTTTCCCTTTGAAACTAGCCTGATATAATACAGGGCGAAATTGAGTTTTTTTAACTTGTAAAACCTGCCTCATAATAAATCGGCAAGAGTAGATTCTGATTGCTGCTTGAATAATTCAAAATTTTTTTTTTTGGGGGGGGGGGGTTGAAAACCCTTTCCCCCTTTCGATCCTCCCCCGATATTTCTTCTCCAAATTATTCAAGCCGACTGTGTAATATTTGCTAAACTTTTCGCCTATTTTTAACTTTATTTTGCATTCCTTTTCGGTTTTTGAACCACCCCTTCTCTGAACACATCAGTTTGTAATCCAGAATCTTTTGAAAGTCTATTTAAATGAAAAGTTTTACAAATTGCAAAATATTCCTGATTTTTGTTCATTTAAACTTTATTAAACAAGTTCATATTGTGAATTGTACATTTAATCTTAGAAAGGATTGTTGAATTGAAGATCGTAAACGTCTAAAAGGATTGTTGAGTCGTAAACGTCTCAAAAAAAATAATTACATTTTGACCTGTACGAATTTCATCGACAAACCCTAGAGATCTCTTGGGTGTCCATTTAAACCTCAGGAGGTCTCTTGGTGTATCCATTTCCGAATTGAGACAAACTCAAGACAGTCTAATCTTATTTATCCATTTAAACCTTCGGTGTTCCCTTGGTGTGCCCAGTTAAACTGCCAAGACCATCCCTGGTTCATTTTAAAACCTCAATTTAAATTTTCCATTTAAAATTAAGACATCTGAATTGCGCGTCTAAGCCGCAGAATATTTCTGAAGTGTGCATTTAATTAACGACATTTTCAATTATTACATTCATTTTTTTAAACGCTTGTTTGATCCCTCTGAAGTCGACTCTGGATTGTCTTTTGTCTTATGTTTTATTCTGCTTGTGAATGCTTCCAGAGATGGCGTAAAGTTTCCCCGTTTAGATCTCAAATGCATCTCGAAATTCTTGGCGTTCAAGAACGCCCTTTGTTGCCGGCACGATTTTGACCAAAAATATTTTTATGTCAAAATTGGCTGGTATTTTGTCTCTTTTTCTTTTTATTAACGTCCCAAAGAAGGAAAACCTTCATAAAAAAAGTTCACAATGTTACTTCAAGACGGTAGGAAGCAATGTCATTTATAGTCTTTCAAAGAAACTTGGAATCTCAAGATTTGGTGGTGGGATTTATGGGAAAAGTTCGGATGCCAAGGAGTCACATTGAGACTTTTCTTTTGTTTTTATGCTCTTAGGGGAAAATTTAATCTCACATTCTACAATTTACACCTACAAAACGCGGAGCATGGCCAAAAGGCCGCCACCCCCCGATTTATTTAAATATGTATGTACACGGTTGATTTTTTTTTGTGTTTCTTCATCGGTTTTTGACCTTCTTCGGCTCGAAGGGGCCTTTCAGGTCTTCCTCGGTCTCTAAAAAATAAAAAATAAAAATCAGTAAGTAACGGTGCTGTTTTGTAGGTGTGTTCCCACCTGGCACGAGGAAATCGTCGTTGAGGTGGAAGTACCTCTTGGAGAGCGAACACTCGACGAGGTAGTCCGCTTGGCAGGTCCGGCTCCGCTGGTTGAACCTGGTCGTGGCACCGCACCAGAAATGGGACTTGAGCAACCTGCCGAAAAACGAAAAATCAGTTAAAAGCTTAAAGGTAGTGAATAAAACCCCTACTATAATCAACTTGAAATTGTTCTCAAACGTCAAAGCAACCAGTATCCACGCCCACCTTGTGTACATTTTTCTAATAATTGTGAAAAACATTTGAAGTATAGCGAATAAGGCATGTCCACAAAACACGTTCATGAGGTACGCCCAGAAAGTAACGACTTTACAAGGCAAGCCTATAAATTTAAAACGTTCATTAGGCACCCGAATAGTAACGAGGTCACAAGGCACGCCCAGAAAGGAACGACATAACCAAGTTACAACGTTTATAAGGCATGTCCAAATAACAGACGTTCATGAGGTACTCCTTCAAAGTAACGACGTTTATAAGGCATGTCCACAAAACAGACGTTCATGAGGTACGCCTACAAAGTAACGCCTAAAGTACGTCCACAAATTAAAACGTTCATTAGCCAGCTCAGAAATATATATTTTATATATACTAAAACAAAATGTATACTCAGAATCTATACTATATGCTTTCGTACGAAAGCCCACAAAGTAGAGATGTTTATAAGGAAAGACTATAAAGTAACTACGTTTATTAGGCACGCCCACAAAATAAAGACGTTCACTTGGTAGGCCCAAAAAGTAACGACGTTCATAAGGCACATCCACAAATTAAAAGATTTAGAATAAGCACGTCCAAAAAGTAACGACAAATTAAAGGCGTTTATAAAGCCACGCCTGCTAGTTGAAACCCTTGACGACAGCCATACCCATGTCAAATGTTCATAAATGTCTTAGCCACGCCAACACTTAAGCCCAGGTAACTTATAGTCCAATATTGCGGGGGAGACGTTTTAAAGACATGCCAACATCGCAAAATTTTCATAATTCCGGTCATGCCAGGTAACAGCCACGCTAGTAAAGCTTTTGCAATAGCCTTTACCCAGCTTAAAGATGTTTATAAAAGACGACTTGCAACTTAGCTATGCACATATTGTGCGGTTTATAAGCCACGCCCACAAAACCCCAGCCAAGCCCACATCACAATTAAATTCATAAGGCATTTCCACAACAGTCAGCCAAGTTGGATGGTCATAACATGGCTCTCTGACAACTGAGCCACGCTTAACTACAAAATTAGATAAAGTAACGTAAAGAAGTGCATAAGGCACGCCAATAAACTTTGGTCAAAATAATCACATCCCTCTTTTCTGGGAGATTATGAAAGCCAAGTAGATCCACCACCACGTAAAACTCAAACCTACGGTCCGTTGATTTGTCCCTGTGAGCAAATGAAAAATCCCCTGCAGTCTGCGACGACGTCGGCGTAGAATCCACCTTTGACCTTCCCCTCGCAGCTGAAGTCCGGGTCCGGTTTCAGGCTGGGATCGATGGTCCTGATGGTAGTGGTAGTCGTCACCGGTTCCCTCAGGGTCCCCCTCACCCTTCCCCTAAACCGTGTCGTTGTCCTTTTTGGCACTTGAGTTTGAGCAAAGTCGGCCTGTGGAGGTTCCCTGGGCCTGTAGGTCGTCGTTTCCGGTCTCTGAGTCCGACCCCTGGTCGTTTTCCCGTCGTTCTTGTTCGTCTTGGGGTCAAACTCGTAAACGGGAACGCCGTCTTGGTCGGGCCTCGGCGAGCTGTCAGGCTCTGGAGGGTTTTTGGACGTTTCGTAGTTAAATTTGAAGCTTTTCGCCTCGGGTCTGAGGGTCGTCCTTTGGTTCCTCCTCACCTGAGCAACCCTCCTGTAAGGGACCGTCGTGAAATCCCCTTCGTCCACCTCTTCGAAGACGGGCTTGACGTTGGGGATCGTCGTCCTCGTCCCACTTCTCTGCCTCACTCTCGTCTTCTTCGCCGGCCTGTCTACGATTGCGACCTGCTTTTTTGGACCGCCATTTTCGACGTACTCGACGTCTGTGACGTTCTCGTCGAACTTGCTGCTCCAGGCGTCACGCTTTTTCCTCCCCAGGTTGAAATCCAGCGCGACCTCCTTGCTCATCTCTTCGTAGTGGTTCTTCCACATCCTACTCAGATGGTCGAGGTCGAACGTGTCCGAATCGTTTTTCATCCCGTTTTTGACGTCCTCCATGATGGCCTCGCCGAGCTTATTGCCGATCTTGTGGAGCATCCCGCCGCCTTTGTCCAGCTGGCGCTCCTCTCTGATGAAAAATGACACCATCTTCTCTCTGTCGTTTTCCTCCATGTCGATAGAGCCGAGGAGGTTTTTCAAGAATTCCTCCCTCGTCGGCGGGCTCTTCTCGTCGTATTTGTGATTCGGGTAGGCCGTGTCTTCGTGCTTGTGGTTAGCGTGGGTCGTCTCATCGTACTTGTGGTTAGCGTGTCTCACCTCGTCTTCGGACCTCTTCGACCTGATCTTGGGTACGTCTCGGAAGAACGGGTCTTCTAGGTCGTCCTGGTATTCGTCGTAGCCTGTCGGAAAATCAAGCGTGGCGTTCTTGGACGTTCTGACGCTCGTCGACGTACTCGTAGACGTTACCACGGATACAGCTTTTTGAACGGGCTCTTCGATCCTCCTCGAATGGAAGAACTGAAAGTTGTAAGGCTTTTCCAGGTCAAAGCTGTGACCGAAGCTTGCGTCGCTGCTCTGGAAATGGTGGTAGTTGGATGTCGGTACTGGGGTTGTCGGCTGGTAGAAAGGCTTCTGCCTAGGCGGCTCGTGCAGTCCGCTGTAGTCGTACCTTATTTTAACTGGTCTCTGAGTCGAGTACTGATGGTTTTGCGTCTGGGCGAAGGCGTTGTTGATCAGCCTTGGCGGCGGGGCTTTGACTTTAGAGTTTTCCAAGCTTTGGGTGAATGCGTTGTGGAGTGCCAAAAGGGCGGCTATCGTCTCGGGGCTCGAAGCCGGAAAACGAACTTTAGGAGGTGAAGTCGTCGTCGTTGATGTCGTGGTTGTGGTCGTCGTCGTCGGCGGCTTCGGAGTCGTCGTAGTCACGTCCAAATCATAATCCTCTTCCGTCGAACAATCGTCGCAGTCAAACTCGCTCTCCGGCTGGATCCTACTTCAACAACAAAATCGTGAAAAACTCAAACTTAATAAAACCGTTTAAACAAATACCCGACGTTGTTCCCGTAAAGCTCGAGGTTGAGGCCGAAAAAGTCTTCGGACTTGGAACAGTCCACTTCGTCGATCCTCTCGCATACTCGAGTCTCCTGGTCAAAGACGGTGCCGTTGAGGCAGAGGAACTTGATATCGGTCACTTCAGCTGAAAAAGGAAAACAATTTCACAAAGAAACTAAACTAATTGACTAAGAACTAGAAAAATTCACAAGCATGAAAAGTAGTACTGGCCCTGTACGTAAATAAGTCCCGTCACAATTTGGACATTAGATCAAATTCAATTGCCAAATGTGTTAAATTGTAAGATTCAATTGACAAAATGTTTGAGAGGGGCAAAATCTTAAGTCACAACTCTTAAATTCAAAGCTACGCCCGAGATGATTTGAAAGTCATCTTGACCAATTTTGGACAATAGATGGACAATCAAAAGTCCAACAAAACATAAAACTGTGATCAGTTGAAAAAATATTTTCTGAGAGGCGCACCTCCCAAAATCAACCTTCCAGGAGCGCGAGATAACATGAAAATTGATTCGGACCGAATTTGGTCGTAGATAGAGGACCAAAAGTCCAACACATCCAATTTTGATCAATTTCGGACAGAATATTTTTGGGAAGCGCGCCCACACAAATTCATGCCTCGTGCTAGATTACTTGATCTTGACGAATTTGGACAAAAGATGGAGTATGAAATCTCAAAAAATCTTCCGGTTTTTAATAGAAATCAGTTTAATTTGCTAGTGCGATATTAAATAAAAGAAATGTTTTTCTAAGGCCCCCCCCATCATTTACTCAATGCGACGAAATTCCTATCAGCCGATTTCGACCAAATGTGGATTAGATGTAGGTCCAAAATCCGACAAATCTATGGATTTGCATCGAAATCTGTTGATGAACGAACATTATTATTATTATTATTATTTTTTTTTGAGGGACCCCCCTCGAAAAACATGTCGGACGCGTTTGTCCATATTGAAGATATACAAATTACCAAACTTCCAACAAATCGGCCAATTTTGACATATTCAATTAATTTAATTTGAAAATATAGTGCTAAAATGTAACCTGCCCTAATTCAAGACTTATCCAAGTGGCTAAGGTGGAGATTTTGGGCAAATTTTGGACGGATTGCGCCAAAATTTGCCTAAATCCTTTCGCCTCATGAGAAAAATGTTTCAATCTTTTTTGCAACAAAGTGTAAAAGGCCCGTTCATTTAGACCATATTTACAAACTCATTTAACCAGTTTCCTCTCTTACCCCAGCTACGTCCCATATTTTTACTTAACAGTTTTAACATTAAGTTCTTTTATTTCAATATAAAAATAAGTATTGTGGTCTCAAATCCTGCCACTCGTACGTACATTTTTCCGAATTACCTTTTTGACCGATCGTGCAGACGTGGAACATCTGGCAGCCGGTCTCCACGTCGGCGTAGTAGCCGCCGATCACTTTGCCCTCGCATGAGAAATTTGTCTCGGGCAGGTTGTCGAAGTCCAAGTACTGGAAGAGAAAAGAGAAGAAGAAAAAGAAGGAAAGAAAGAAAGAAAAAAATGATAATTTAAGGGGAAAGGGAAGAAGAGAAAAGGGTCATACTCACCCCTGGTTTTGTGGCTGAGGAACAGTCCGGATTTACGATTAGGCCGGTTACTAGCGCTGGATTACAAAAAAAAGGATAAATTAAAAAATATACAATAAATATTGAACCATAAAATAATCCATAGAAGCCCGGCTTAAAATAAAAACCCTCCCATCAAAAGAGAGGAGGGTAGCCTTTTAAACTTTAAAAGATACTGGATAATCCATCCCCTCCCTCGGATTAAAGAATTAGACAATATTAGCATTTTATCCACCATAAGTTTTTGTTTTTGTGTGACCATAAGTTTTTCGGGTGAGATTTGGAAACTTTGAAGACATTTTTTTCGAGGGCGCCCTCTCCACGAATTAATGAAAATTTTACCGTTCAAAGTCCGTGATACTTGATTACTCAAAACCTAGGTTATTGGCCGTTTGTGAGCTTTCTTTAACAACCAACCTTGATGAAATTTTGACCGCAGATCGATGAATGAAAAAGTTGATCGAATCCGGCTAATCAAATTCTGACGATGACCTGTCGAAATGATTTCACCGGATTTTCGGAGACTAGGTGACCCTTATTATTTTTGAGCCTTATAACAAAGGATCTTGATCAAATTATGACCACAGTCCAAAAATCGAGGTTGGTCAAATCTGGCCAATTGTCGAAGAAAACCTGGCGATGAGCTTTTGAAATGAGTTCACCGGATTTTTAGGAGGGGTCCACCCTCACACACGACGGGTTATTACTGTCGGCTGTCTTGGCCCTTGGTTTATGATCAAAGACCAATTTTTGAATGTTCTGAAAAATTATTTTTAATTTTTTTCATTTTTTTCATCTAAGATTTTTGGTTGAGATGAAAAATTACTGATTCTAGTTGCCACTCATTGCTTGTTTGTGAGCTTTCTTAACAATCGATCTAATTGACAGGACAATAGTCCAATAATCGAAGTGGATCAAATCTGTACAATATTCACCGTTTTGCGGAGGGGCTAACCCAATAAAAACAAATCGGCTGTATTCGACCTGTCTCATGGACGGATCTTGATGAAATTTTGGCCACTGTTTCATGATCGAACTGAGCCGAATTTGGCCAATTTTCGACAAAATCTGACTGTTTTTGAAATAATTTTTCCAGGTTTTTCGGTGTGGCCACCCGGTACAAGGCCACCCACAAGAAACCGCATCTGGAATCGTTGATTTTACAATTTGAATTTACGATTCCCGATAATGGAAAAACGAGTCGTGTTAAATTTTTTTACCCAAAATATGAGCCCTTCACTTTCACGCCGATTTAGGATGAGTGCTTTTTTGAAGTAGCACTTTTTAAGTGCCATTAGGCCGAGGAATAGAATATTATAACTTTTTTAAATCCAGGCCACCCCCGCGATTCCTTTCCCTCTGCAATTAAAACTCGTTGCACAATCCGGCCAGGGAGTGGGACAGAAAGCTCCGAGGACGGCGTGTGTCCCCCATACGCATACAAAAACCGGAACGCTTTCTCCGTTATGTCACTTTTTCTCTCTCTCCCTGGAAAAATAAAGATTACAGTTCAAGTGCAGATCACGACTACTTACCTCGTATAAATCCAAAATTTTCACTGCTCAACTTTTGATAAAAACGTCAGAGGCGTGTTTCCCTCCCAATTTTCCTATTCTTTTACGAGATAAAAAAGTATCGAAAAAGCAAATAGGATTATAACAAATATGAAAAGGACCTTTCTTGCAGGATAAGCTGCAGAATACACGTTAGGCCTGGCCCAAAATGCTTTTTTAATAACTTCTGGATCATAAGTTTCTTATTTACAGGAGTGGTGGAACAGAAAACTTTTAGCTCCTCGTTTTCGATTAGATTACGTTTGTACTTTTCCCTCAGACGCCACAAATAAAGCTTTCCTTCTTTTAACCTGTTGGCTTTCCAACATTTATACGCCCACAAGTTAAAAAGAATTAAAAAATGAAAGAATTAAAAAGTTTTTTTTTTTTAGACGCTTCGATTAAAAATGGACTTATTTTGAAGTACACAAGGCTTTAAAACCATGATTTTTTTTGTTTGCAATATGAAAACTTGAAAACCTGCTTATAACTCATATTTAACTCTTGTTAAAGTATCTTGAATATTTAAAAAAAAAATCATCCCTGTTTAAAAAAAAAAAAAAAAAAAAAAACCAGACCCCAAATACTTGGTGAGTTTTTCAGGTAGTGTTTTATATATAATTTTAGTTTCAAAAATCAATAAAAATTAAAAAAAAAACAGCAGAATAATTCGTCCTTCTTGATTGTAACATAATTTATATAGTTTCTTTACGAAATTTCAAAACGAGATGTCTTTCCAAGTTGGACGGATCTGCAAACAAGCACCTCCACAAAAGGCTAAAAACTTTTTAAAAAAATTCGAGTACTTACAAAATATCAAGTGTGCCCAATACATTTCTTGTGCCTTGTCAGAGTCCCATTTTCTGAAACAATCGAAAGAGAAAAGAAAATCAGTGTTAAAGTGATTGTGAGGGAAAAGCTACTGGGGCGAACATACCACCCACCGTGAGTATTTTGAAAACTGGGACCCCTGTTTATTTGTTTTAATTTTATCTTTTTTTTATTATAAAGCCCTTTAGTGAATTATGCTTGGTTATCAAGGTTTGGGTTCATAGGTAACGCGAATATTGGCCATGGTAACCTAGACAAGTGTCGTCATAAGGTGTGAATACGAGCACTAGACACCTTGATCGGTAAAAGGAAACACCTATGACGTCACATTGTACCAACAGGCAGGCTATACATGCCAAAAATTAGGTAACAGACTTGGGTGACATTATAAGATTTGACTACTATATGCCAATACACCATGACGTAATAATGTACGCTAAACAAACTGCATTCTTAGTACTAATAATCAATCCCTGATAATGTCAGATATCACTTCGTACAACGTATTTGCGTGAAATGCATACACTATGCAAACAAACCCAACATTTATGACGCCTTAATTGTAATGTGCATTCGACAGCATTTGTATCATATTGTAACGCCAATTGGCCATCAGATTTAATATTCTGTGAATGCCAACTTTATCCATTTTAAATACCAAACACGTGTGATGTCATAATCCACACTAAACAATCTGTCTTATTAGTACAACATGCCATCATAATGATGTCACATGTATGTCGTCGTGCATGAGGTACATGTAATTATTGTATGTAGACAGGTACATAAAGACATGAATGACATCATAGGTGTCAATATTTGGACAGCCATCTTGATCTGTAAAAGTTATCCAAACACCTATGACCTAACCAGCCGGTCTTCTTATCAGTACAACAGAAGCACCTATATCACATTTTTTCTATGATGTCATAGGTGAGGTTATCACCCAGTACAATATACAAACGTATTTAGTCAAGTAACCACCTGACGTCATTATTTTAACAGTATAACTAACCCTAATATTGGCCATCTATGATATCATAGATGATGTAATCACCCCACATTGTCTATAATAATTATTGTCGATTGCCTTGAATAACAAAAAGCTGCATAATATAAATTTCTTTCTTCCAAGTGCATATTTTGTTGCGGGAAGGCCTTCGGGCGATCCAAAGCCGCCAAGAAGGTCGAATAGGGAGTGTAAAATTTTTTTTGTAGGTTCGCGCGAGGGGTGTGGTGTAGAAAGTATGTCATAATGCGGTTCGATACCGTCAATTATAATGCCTGAGGTCGACATTAATCCGTGATTGGGAATGGTAAACAAAGCTTCCTGGGCCGTTCTAATCTGTTCTCTGGGCTCACCTTCGTCTCTTTAAATTGCTCCTCGGGTGCGGATCGAAGGTTGGAATGCCACTTCCAAGTCCGTATGCTTTTCCGACTCCTTTCGCTCCCGTTTCGGGTTCCGTTATGTCACCGGTGGCGTGCTGCGGGTGGGGTGACGCAACCGTCCATTTCTCTCTGGACGGGCGACGGTGAAAGGGGCCTCGGCCGCCGTTCCGCCCTGATCGGCTCACCTCACCCGGCGACACCCAGCACTGCCTTTTTTTACCCCGAATATCACGGCCAGCGCCTTTCTTTATTCAGCCGAGTTTAGCATTTCAGATCTTGACATTTACGACTGGTTTTGAAAATGTGAAAAAACCCCATCGAAATCTCTCGATCTCTCTGATAACTTAAAAGTCAACACTGCCTCTGACAGTCGACATTTGTAAAAGACCGCCGAGAAAAAAACCTAAAAGAAGGATAAGCTTGTAAATATAAGTGTATAAAACCTTTTGTACGAATTCTGTCGAGAGTCCAACAAGAGCGACATCCAGTTCAGCCGACGGAAATGTACATTTGGGGGAAACCATGAAATTTCAGATGAGAAAACGTGAAAAACATGGTATATTTGAGGAAAATAAGTGTTCTCCATCTGACCCACTAGTCACAATTAGGATGGAGAGATACCAAAATCCCCACGGAAACTTTATTTAGGGCAAATTCCATAGAAATGTTTTTCGGGAGAACCCATGGAGAGATTTGACCATGGAAAAGGACCGATGACAGGACGGACTATATATCCAACCCCTTGGAAAGATATGTTATCCAACCCCATAGGAATTTTTTGGGGAGAACCATAGAAAAGAAGTATGGTTAGAAAAAGGTTTAATTTTAATATGGACAGAAATATAAATGGAGGAAATTTCAGCAATGTGTGCTCTTAAAAAAGATTGACGTTTAGGAAAAAACATGGAATGGCAGTATTGTCATAGGTTTGCGAGAAACCCTATTAACCGTTCTGAATATTTATCATTCCATAACATGTCGATGGACAATGAATAAAGTCACAAGGTGGTCGGGACATAATTTGCATAACTATAGTCCCAAGTGTTTGGGCATTACGCTTTGTAGCGTGTTTCCTTCCTTAATGATCATCCATTACCGTGTACCGTGTCGATTGAAGCTGATAGAAGCTCGAGATTGGGTACATTGTCCGGTCCAACCTACAATAACCTAACCTTCCACTTTTTTGTTGGTTTCATTTCCCCACCACGTTTAATTTATCCGCGAAGGAGGCATGATGATGGAGGTTTAAACTTCATTAAAGACAAACCAAACATTTCATATAATTTGGTACCGATAAAGCCAAATACTTCAAGGTTGTTGGCGTTTTACCTATGAATCGGTTGGGGATCTTTTCAAAGAGTCCAACAGCTCTTTAGTGAGGTCAGGTGCTGATGACCTTACTGTCGAGCTTTTTGTTTTTTGTTTTTATAAAAAACCTTTTTCACTCCTCTGACTTTCAGAATTTTTTTAATGGAATATCGCTTATTCATTCGTTTTCGGTGTTGCCTTGATTGAACCGTGACGGTCCGACGCAACTCGATGGCGGAGTTGCAACGCCCTTTGAACCATATCCAGTCGATTCGAGTTAGGCATCAGAAATTTCTCATACTTTGCTCCTTGATTATTAAAAAAAAAAAAAAAATCAATTCTTTTTTATACAAGCCCGAATACAAGGGCAACATTGCAAACACGGAATGTTTTGTCGGAACGAAAAACGGAGAGAAAAAAATTGATAAAAGCCATTTGAGGGACTGACAAAATTGAAAAATACCACCTTTTAAAGAAATTTCACTTCCGAGTTTTTAATTTGATAGTACTCTTTAATCTAATAAACAAAACAGAAAGTAATAGAATACAAACATTAGTTTCATAGTCTGCACTCATTTATTGACGTGGGTATGGTTGGTTTAATATAGTCTTGTATGAGGACGTCACTGTTACTACAATGGTCTATTAGTCGCCCTGTCAAATTTTAAACGGGAAAACAGCGAGACTAGTAAGACCAGTTTTTAAAAAAATTAACACTACCCAAGGATTGGGTGCTGTTACAAAACTATTTTAGGCTTTTATTCCAAGTTGTTCTTAAATATATCTAGCAAAATGCACATAAAACAATCCCATTATGTATTTGATCTTCTGACATATCCATGGTACGTACGACAGGTGTTTACACCAGTTACGTCTGAACGTCACCACAAGGGTCTACTAGTCTCCTTGTCCAACTTTAGACTAGTAAGACCCACAGTTTTTAAAAATGAAATCTATACCTAAGGCGTGAGACATTTCTTGAGTGTTGTTATAAATACAATTCTAAGTTGTACTTAAACCTAACTAGCAAAATGCACATAAAACAATCCCAGTACGTATTTTAAACCTTCTGACCTATCCACGGTGTGTTGTACGATAAGGTCTTATACGAAATACGTCCTGACGTTTCCAGTCAGTCGCAAGAAGAGTCTGTTGTCTCCCTGTCCAACTTTAAACGGGAAAACAGCGACACTTGTAAAACTCAAAGGTTTTGTTACGTACAAAACATTGGTACATTTTCATGTTATTAATACATTTAATTATTCCAATACTGAGCGCTATATACCCGACGCTTAAGATATTTCTTGGGTGCTTTTTTAAATAAATTTTAGGCCTTTTATTCCAAGTTGTTCTTAAACCTAACTAGCAAAATGCACATAAAACAATCCCAATATGTATTTTATCTTCAGGCATATCCACACGTACGATATTGTATGCCTGTGGTCCAGATACGTTCTGACGACTCTAGTATAAACTATAAGGGTGTATTAGTCTCTTTGTCCAACTTTAAAGCGGAAAACAGTGAGACTGGTAAGACCCACAGTTTTTTAAAATGAACCCTATACCCAAGGCTTGAGATATTTCTTGGGTGTTGTTATAAATATATTTTAGGTCTTTTATTCTAAAGCTCTTCTTAAATCTATCTAGCAAAATGCACATAAAACAATCCCAATATGTATTTTATCTTCTGACGTATCTATGTTCATATTGTACGACGTGTTTACACCAGTTACGTCCTGACATCTGTAGTCACTACACGGGTTGTGAGACTCCCTGTCCAAGGGACATACTTAAATATATGAAATCTTAAAAACTTTACCCGAAAAACCAGGAGTCTAGTAAGATATTGGATGCCGAAGACTAACGTACATTCCTTGGGTGTTGTTATAAACATATTTTAGTCGTTTTATTCCAAGCTGTTCATATATCTAACTAGTAAAATGCATATAAAACAATTCCAATATGTATTTTGTCAAAGGTTCTTAACTAAAACACTATTGGCGTACTGCAAATCCCATAGGGTGTTATGATTACCTTTTTTCGTCTTCCAAGCTGTTTATCTACCTAACTAGCTATTTGTACGTAAAAAATCCCCATAATATTTCACCATAACCCGTCACCGCGTGAGCACATATTTAACACATATTATGCTCATGCTTGAACGTCAGTGATCACCATCTAGTTTTCTTGTATAATTGTAACCTAAAAATAGCAAGACTAAGTAAGACCCCCAATTTTTTAACTGTACTTTACGTGCCCAATGGATTTATGGCTTGTGTTAGGCGTTGTTATAAATTTTGTTAAAAGACTCAAATGTTCCTAACCAACACTATGT